CTGCTCCAACTATAGGACCGATCTGAGTCTTTGCCTTTGCGCCTGGTAAGACCCGACACACTTGCTTGACCTTCGCATCGGCGCCTTTGGGATCGGCTGCTGTAACAACTGCAGGCGCGAGCTGGAAGTTTTGCGCGTCGGGATCGACGATGAGGTAGTTTTGCGTGAAGAAGGGTAGGCCTAAGGTTCCAATAGTCATAGTGGTAGGACCTGTTTGGTTCGTCACGGCCATGTTGAAGACTGTTGCATTATCCACTTCGTACAGACCAGCGGCGTTGTATGCTCGGGGCCGACTGTAGAGCTCGGTCGCAGGAATGACCGACTTGTAAGTTGCGACCGAGGGTTTGGATGCGTCGCCGCCGGGAGTGCCCATGTCCGACAGCGTGACGGTGATGGTGCCTGCTGGAGCTGGGTCGGTAGGAAGCTCGAAGTGACGCGAAGTTTCGTTCCAAAAGGCAGTAGTCTCCGCCGCAGCAAGGTTGTCCAACATCGCAGCTGGCAGTCTAATGTCAGATGAGAAAGGGTCAAGATGTACGACAAGAGTGTCCTTTGCGTCAGCGAAGAGCGTGGTGCTCTTACCGCCAACATCGTACGTGATGGCCGTAAGGATAGCGCATGTTGGACAGTCGGAAAACATAGGAAAGGTAGTGGCGGCACTCTTGAGACGGCTTTCATCGTAGCCACCAACGACTATCAAGCCATCTTGAGGTGCTTCTTCAGATTCTGATCCAGCCCATAGTCCATACGTTCGGGAAGAAGCTTGGCCGGCATCCACGAGGTAGTTCAAGAAGCTCGAGTCCATTCCCAGAGGCAGTGTTGCTCGATAGCTTGGCTCGTTCTTCATGAGCGCGTCTGCGCTTGCTACAACGCGTCAGTGCTGTAACGACCCAATTCTCTCATGGACTTACTATCAGTGGATCCATTGGTATACATGGGAAAGGTCGCAAACTTGTTCGCATCCGGTTTGAGACCAAAAGCCGCAGCATCGTCGAAAAAGATGTAAGAGCTCGCGTACGCTAGGTCGACGGACTCTCTGCTGCCTGTCCATGTCGCGTAGTCTACCTCTTTGAACGAAGTCGAAGTTGCACTATCGTAGATGCCACCGAGTTGGCCAACGCAGCTCGTGTTCGTAGCTGCCACGCACTCCGCTGCATTGTTGATGAAGAGATTGTCGGAAAGCGTCGATGGCGTCAAGGAAAAGGGTTGCGGAGGAGTGCCGATAGCGAAAGAAATGCCTCTGGTGAGGACAGTGCCGTCAGCGGAGACAGTGTTGTTTGCCCAGGGCAAGAGCAACGGCTTGGAGCCGTTTGCGCAGGCCATCGTCCCTTGGTAACGATGGATGTCCTCCAAAATTGTAAGATCTGGTGTTGTGTAATTGTGACAGCGTCAGCCTCGCAAGGGTATTTTTGGGGTCAGCCATGACTGTCCCTGATATGGATTGCAGGGACGCATTAACAAGGGATGATCTGCTAAGCTTGGGCATGGGCACCTAGGCTATGGGGATCGGGCGTTGACGACACCTGCAGACCTGAAAACTCGGGTAAGGAAAAGAACCCTATTGGATTGGTCCGTCATGATGTACTTCGGGTACATACTACCTAGAGTCTCAGAATGGTCGGTACCTGGGCGACGAGACATATGCGCTTCTCCACAGCTTCAACTCGTTCTCTTACTCCATGGTACGCAACGAACACACTCATCTCCATCTTCAAAGTAGTCCGGCGACCGCCGATGCCCTGCGTAGAGTGGTGACGTCACAGCGTAGGTGCAGGCGCAGGCCTTGGTTTGTTGACATCCGCGAGTCGCCCTCATCTTAGATTCAAGGAATCTTGCTGTTCGTGTCGCAATTCTCCTGACAGGACGGGCCTTTTGCGGCGAAGGAAAATGTTAATTCGGACCGTTGACGTCGGAACGTTGTTCAGCCACGCGCTGTCCCGTCCATCGAGCCAATCAGCACTTGCCGACTCACTAGCGTCTTTCGGGGACATGTTTCGCGTATGCAAATCTCGCTCGCTTCTCTGATAACTCCGTCGATCGTGTGCCCAACCTCATAGTCGGGGTACATGCCCAAGTTCGCCTCTCCCTGTCTTCGAGTGTTCGAGCCTCGATGGATTTTCGATGAGACCGGAGGTGGTGGGTACCGTGGTCGCGCATCATCTTTTGACGACGCACTGTGATTGGAAGGCAATAATTTCCAGTCCGATAAGATGAGGTCTGTCGCGTCGCGTTATACTCAACGGGCTCGTAACCTGCGTTCACCGACCTTTGGCGTTACGAGAGTCCGCATCACGCACGAAGGCCTGACCTTGAGCAAGTGCATGAGAATTCTAGCAAACCTAGCTCCCTACATGATTACTGATGTGGCTCATAAACCGCCACTGGACCTCAGCTCTCAGCCCTCAATATCCTGAAGTGCATCTTGGGCACATACTCACGATTTGAAGACACTTGACTTCACACCTCTCCTTTCCGCATTTCCCAACCGACTCGTGACACCTTGGAGTTGCCGATCAGTAAACCAAGGCCTGCTCGTTGCGTCGCATTGGATGCGGCGTGCTGTAGTTCGTAGTCTTGTCACCAAAAGGTTGTGGCCTTTCCATTTGGTCATCTAGCCCAAATGAGAACGCAGGCCTTGATCTACTAAGGCTCGAGATCAGGCTCCAAGTACATGACTCAGAAGATGTACCAGAACCTTCCGTATTATTGCGGCTCCTTTTATGACCTTTGCTCGCCGGACGTCTAATGCAGGCGTATTGTTTGTAAACTGCATCTTCAGTCCACCAAGTTGATGGTATGGGACCGCATGCGCAGCCCGGACATGGTAAGACGGGGGAGAGTCATGATGAGACAAACCTCTTGATCGTGTCACAACGTCTCCACAGACGCGGTTCGACGTGGAGAATTTCGGTGATCAGGGGGAATGGAAACGAGTATGGGTTTCGATAGCATGACTCAGTGCTCTTTCGATACAGATAACTGATTCGTGAGGGCGAAGGTGTCGGGTGATGTGCTTGCGCAATGTAAGTGGCTCCAGCACCCAGTGTCGTTCTTATGGAGGTCGTGTCATAGCTAGTATCAGTAGATCAATTCCTTGTCGCGAAAGCGCAGGATCAATGGCATTGCAGCATTACAAGTACTGACCAATTCGTGACATCGAAGGGTCTCTTCTCGGCCAAGAAGCCTGTTGACAAGATTGTCAATTGAAGACTTGCGCAGAGCGATGAACTCGAGACACAAGTCTGAATGAAGGACAACCGTGGAGTTGGATGACTAAAATGCTGCACATGAAGACACTTGAAGCGATGCGACCGATCATGACATTCACAGTCTCTTCAGACGAGTCGCTCCGGCCGTGTGCAGCAGTACGGCGAACGTGAATACCATCTTCCTGGATCATTAACACCCATCGGTATTGTGGCTGGTGTAGATTCCGCTATAAATTCATGTCCGTGCCGATAGCTGTCAGCATGAACAATTTGTTCACTTCTGTCGTCTTTAGGGCGGCTACCGCAATCTTTGCGTTACAGCACGTCTGTTGATACCTGCAACTCAAAATATATGTCGGTTCCGGATCCTTGAAGCTTCGTGGAAGTGAATAGCGATGTGATCCAGATCATAGAGAAGACGTCTTCTAATCGCAGAGGATTCCAACACTTCTCGTAACGGGTATCCGAGAAGGCGTTGCGGGCATCCATTGTTTGACAGACAACACCAGCTAGTTCAATCCCGGTAGAAACACTCGTCGACAGTAGGCTCTCTACATATCGTACAACGCGGTATGTTTAGCTGTAAACCATACATGAACGAACTGACAGGTGATGAGATGGATGGTGTTGATGAGCGTTCTGCCTGCATTGTCACGGGGCAACGCGCGTCGAGTCGTGGCACCGACTTCGGCCCCATTACTCCGGTTGCCACTTCTACGGACTCTTCCGCACCTGGCACTCGACCAAGTTCCCTTGACTGAGGCAAACTCAATGTCATCGGTGTCATTTCTCTGGAAAGACGCTCAGAATGCGCTCTGAGGAAGTTGATGCGACGCCGGTTAAATGGCTAAAGTGCGATCTTGGTCATTGGGGCGGGACACGCACAAGTAAACATTCGCGCTAAATCAGGAAACGATGCCCAGCTGGATCGTGGCTTTACGGGTGGGCTAAATCTCCACGGCTTCTCCTGTCGTCATCGAGTTTAATGAGATCTGCCGGAGAACTGGAGTGTGAGGTTGGAGGACAGAGAACGTAATGATTGAGGCGACGTGAGAAAAGAGGGATAAAAATAAATAGAATGTTGGATTGACGTAGATTGAATGCGCGATATATTGATGTGCATGTTGATCGCAGTTGACGGTGTTGTGGGTCGTCAATCAACCGTGAGCGCGGACCCTGAGCGGCCAAACCCAGCAACCAGGCATCTTCCCCTCATTTCTTCCATCCCATCTACCATCATCACCACCACCACCGACAAGTGCATTAGACCCTCGGATGGATGGAGTGGACGCTTGAGGCTGGGGATTAGTTGACATTAACCGGCCAGTCTCCATTGACACAGCCGTATCTGCACCTGCGTTGTCGACATGAGTGGGACCTGCATCTCACGTGCCTGTCTACCCCGGATGTGCATTTCGCTTAGGCAATGGCCGCTGGCGCCCAGAACGTCTACCCCAGAAGTAGGACCAGACCCCGATGATCCCGAGGTCCAAGCCGGTTGATTTGTGGATTAGTCTGGAGAAACTCCGCAACCCGCGAGCAGGTGGCGCCATGCAGCCAGGTCAAAGGGTTTACAGCGGCGAAGGACAAGTTTGCACATGAGCCACGAGCCCGGTTAAACAAAACGACTGGGGTGAAGATGAACCGCGAGAGCGGATAGATTGATTGAGCATGCATACGCTAGACTTCTAGAATAACCGTCGAAGAATATATAGGATGACAGGCTCGCCGTGTCTTTAAGGGTATCCGTGGCAGACAACCTCGAATCAGTCAACACTCCAAGTCTCAATCACCATGCGTTTCTCCAGCATCGTCGCCAGTCTGGCGATTGCCAGCTCCGCTGTTGCCAGCCCGTAAGTCACCCGCATTCTCGCCACCATTTTAGCTGGCTAACATTGAGATAGTACCTACGGCCATGGCAAGCCCAAGGAGGACAGCCTCTACAAGGCCATGAAGAAGGCAGGACGGGAATTCATCGGCACGGCCCTGACCCTCCGCAACGAGACCCGCGAAGGCGAGATCATCAAGGCCGACTTCAACTCCTTCACTCCCGAGAACGCGATGAAGTTTGAGTCTGTTCACCCAAACCAAGGCAACTACACCTTCGCGGATGCCGACCGTTATGCGGCATACGCCAAGGCGAACAAGCTTGAGGTCCACTGCCACACTTTGGTTTGGCACTCTCAGCTGCCCGCCTGGGTATCTGAGGGCGGATTCGACAACAAGACCCTCATTGGTATCATGGAGGACCACATCAAGACCGTCATGACCCGCTACAAGAGCGTTTGCACACGCTGGGACGTAGTTAACGAGGCCTTGAACGAGAACGGTACCTACCGCTCCAGCGTCTGGTACGACACCATCGGCGATGCCTTCCTTCCCATCGCTTTCCGCTTCGCCAACAAGTACCGCGGTAAGGCTGAGCTCTTCTACAATGACTACAACCTCGAGTACAACGCGGAGAAGACCCAGGGTGCTCAGCGCATCGTTAAGCTCATCAAGTCCTACGGCGTCCGCATCGACGGTGTTGGCTACCAGGCCCATCTTGCCACTGAGTCCACTCCCACTGCTCCTGGTGCCGCTCCCGACCAAGCTACCCTCGAGGCTGCTCTCCGCGCGACTGCTGACCTTGGCGTTGACGTCGTCTACACCGAGATTGACCTTCGTATGAACACGCCTGCCACTCCCGAGAAGCTCCAGGTCCAGGCCGATGCTTTCGAGCGTGTTGCCAAGTCGTGCATGAACGTCAAGCGATGCATTGGTATGACTGTCTGGGGTATCTCCGACAAGTACTCTTGGATCCCTGGTGTCTTTGAGAACGAGGGTGCTGCCCTTCTCTGGGACGACAACTACATGAAGAAGCCTGCCTACGCTGGCTTCCTCAAGGGCATCAAGGCCAAGAAGGGTCACTACTAGACGAAAAAGAGAAAGACTATACAACTTTGTAGATATTAGGTAATGTATACAATGTATTAAGAGCATTTACATTAAAACAAACATCACATGAGTCTTCCGTCTAATTGCCTTAAAGATCTCTTATTGCATCCATGCTGGAGGTCGGTGCTACTGCTACGGTTTAGTAACGGGCTATTAGCACGCGAGATAGCCAGCCTTCACAACGAGACCTAGCGCGAATCATCATTATGCCGTATCAGCGCTGTTGAATCACCGAGCAAATGCGCTATAATGTGTAGTCCCAACCCAAACCCTCATTTCACACCCCCTTGAATCACGAGACTTGCTTTTGGCCTTTCACGATGGAAGACACAAGGTCTCGTAAAGAACTGCGTCGCGCAGTCGCCGAACACGAAAAGGCGCTGGAGCAAGATCATCGGCGTCCTCACTTGGCGACACTCCGCATGAGCATCCAGGATCGCACCGAGCCTTGCCATGGCGGCGCATCACATTTGCATCGCCTAGCATGTGGCCATACCGTTCACACTGAGCAGGTATCCTTGTGCCGAAGGAACTGTACGATACCCGTCACAAACTTCACACCTTTCGCATGTACACTCTGCGAACGTCAAAAGATGATCCAATTTGGCCGTATCAATTATCGCAGTTCAAGTCTGACTGAGCTCATATTGCCCAACTTCCCGATGTACGATCAATCTCACGTGCCGGTGATGATGCGCGCTCGTGCGTGCGACATCGCAGTGGTAACGTCCTCGAAGCACTTTTTCGTGCCTAGCACGCCCGAAGATATTGCTGCGTACAGGGTCAACGATAACCGACGATTGGTAGGCCTTATCGAGGATGTTGTTGATGTCGCAAAAGATATGGGCTTCTCTCAGACCATCGTTAACGGCATCACGGACGGATTGACGACCAGCGTTGATCATCAGTATCTGTGGGTGAATGCGACATATGAACAGCTCGCTGCCGTGATATTGTACTTGAGCGCTGTACAGGCCGGTATTGAACAGTCTGGTATGTTGAGCCAGCTATCGATGTGCTTCGGTGCATCGATAAAAGGTATCAAGCAACTACTTCCAGCAGTGTCAAAACTGCTCATCGATACCAGCGCAAGGTTCGCCATTGCTAACTTCATGCGATCATTCGAAAAGGCATATCCTGCCTATCAAAAGCACTCCAAAGATCTTGCTCGGCTACAGTCGAAGCTATGGCGTCTGGTACTGCACCGCTGTCTCTTCCCGATTGAGTTCATCGCAGCGAACTGGCGACACGTCGTAACATCCTGCATATATGCTGTGACTACAGTCAACGAAATTTATCTTGATACCGAGGAGATCAGCGCAGCGATAGGTGCACGTAGCCCTAGCATTGGTGGCGAGGACCTGAACACGTTCCTGCTTTCCAATATTGTGGACGACAAAGCTTACCAAGTCAAGGCGATGAATGCCAAAGCGCGGCGCCGACGTAAGCTCGAAGCCCGCTCAGCAAGACATGTTGCACTTGATGTCGTTGCCGCGCATCCCACACCAGACGTTGTCATCGGTTTAGATCGTAGCTTTAAGACAGTCTCGTTGGACGAGTTCCTCGGTGCCTCTAGACACGGTGAAGGTAGGATATAGTATTCAGAGAGTGAGTTCCATGATGCCGATTCGTGTTCCTGAGAGGACTGTCCAGCGGGACTTCATCGTCCACTAAGAAGTGGTCCCATCGCAGCTCGCCTCGTCTTCTCGTTGTTTAGTCGGCCTCTGTGTCGGGTCCATGAGATAGGAAAAATGCACTTCCCAGTCGTTCTTACGTCACGATACAGCGCAACGAAATGAATGGAATCTTTGGAGAGGCACGTTTTCATCAGTTCGTGGATCATACATATGAAGTTCGAGCTACTACGCGCTTTGCGGGGCGACCAAGTCGTCCCCAAGCTGTGCCATCCTGACCTCTTCATTGTATTTGTAGTATCGGTTGACACCAATCCTCGTCGCTAACGCTACTCTGCGATGATGGCTGTACAACGTAGAATATAGCGGTGTGCCTGGCCTATCAACCCTTCTACGGGGTAGCGGCTCGAGCCAAGAATGCAGCGTTAATCTCGTCTAAGAGCTCCTCGCTCTTTCCAGGATTCATGGTTTCGTACAAGGTGGCAGCCGCAAACTCCTCTTTGAAGTCGTTGTTCTTGGTGAACCCGTAGAACTCCTTGTCTATAGCCCCCAGCAAGTCCAAGGCGGCTTGCTTATACTCCTCGGGTTTCATGCGGGTAAGGTCTGGCAGAGACAAGGCGCGTTTCACCTTCCATTCGTTGACTGCTTCATTCATATGATCTGCCGCCATTGCACCAACGGCGAGACTCAAGAACGTACGGCCTGGTAGTTTCGCCCCAAGTTTGAATCGAGCCTTGCTGGCGCCGAAAGCCTGCACTTTCGAAATGTTCGCTGCGTACGCAAACTTGTATTCTTCCCAGGTCCAGAGTGTTCGACAGATCCCGTACTGTGCGCCGCTAAGATCGATGATCCACTGCTTCTTGGATTTGGTAGCGGTAATACGAAGGACGTCGTGGAGATGTGAGGGCCAGTTGTCGAGATACCCACCGGAGGGAATGGGAACACTAACCCTTCGGAGAACACGGCCTAGAACGGTGGAAATCTCATCAAACTTGACATCCATTCCTATGTATGTGGAGTTAGCAAGGTGGAATAGAGTAGATGATCGATTCTGTTTACCTTCGGCGAAGGCAGCAAGCAAATCGTGCATCCAAGCCAGTGCTTCGTCGCACGACCAGGCACATAACATCGCCCTTTTAGTGCTGTCATTTGTGACCAGGTGCTGAGGAAACTTGACGAGATATCCCAATTCGTCCGGCATCTCTCCACCGTGAAAGATCAAGACGTCGTCGCGATCTTCGATATCGCTCAGAGGTACAGCCCAGGTTCTCTCCCGGAAGCCATAATAAACGCATTGAACGATCTTGGCTACGCGCGCGAGCTTGTTCTCGAGGTTGGCGTTCTGGGCCTCCTTGCAAGCCTTCTTATGGGTCGGCCAGTCCTTCACCTAAAATGACAGTGTAAGAAGCCAGTATATATCTCACACGCAGTTCGGAGATCTTACCTGACAGATCTTGCCGCAGTACTGACGCGATGAGGTATCCGACTTGCAAGCGCCGCATTTGTTGTTAGCCGGCTCGCCGCAGAGGGCGCAAGCCGCCGCTTGTGCTTCTGGCGCCATGAGTAGGGCTGAGTTGTTGTCTTCGAGAGTGGAGCGGGTGAGTGATTATGTTGTTGTGGGCGCAGCGAGATATTCAGGTGCAGCCGGCCGATATATCTTCCGGTCGCACGCTAATAACGAGGTGAAGGTGAGTACCGTGCCTTTGAAAGCTTCCAGATGCGCTAGAGGCGGTGACGATTCGCGTCGCATTCTAAGAAAGATCAAGGAATTTTCTAGCTAGAAGTATACGTTGTCTCAGAGACTGTATACTTGCTAAGATATAATGTTGTGTATGCAGCAAACCCTGGAAATGCTATATGTGAAATACGGAAGCCAGTGTATGATTTTGGTCAACAAATCAATTTGTAACTCACATCAATTGGTCGCCAATCATGGCCATGGACCGCGAATATCCCTCACTACCTAAGAGACTTAAAAACGTCTGCCACCATGTTTGCTCCCGGGCCTCCATGTTGTTGCATCATTTGAGCCAGATCCAAAGCTACGTTAGGGCGGTTCGCTTTCTCCTCGTCCGTCATAGCATCGCCAAGGATGCTAGCGTGATCAATATGCTCCGCCATGGTGTTACGCGTCGTTTCCTCTGACTCATTGGTGATTTGATACATGAGTGGACTGGCGTCGTAGTTTGAGATATACTCACCAACAGCCTTAGATAAAGCCTCAGCCAATGATTGATGCCAGCTTGCTGATTCGGTAGTATCCTTCGAATGACGAAGACTGACTAGGTCATTTCCAGGCTTCTGCATGAAAGCAAGTAATGCTTTTTCCATCCGTGATGACGCACGGAGTCCGATTCGCTGGGTGTGAGAATAGCAACCCGCCAGAGCTGAACAAGCTTGGACATAATCCCTACATCTACCAAAGTTGAAGACTGCACAAAGCGCCTGCACATGCTTGGATTCGAAGTCGGCAGCGGAAAAGATTGCTTGCGTGAGCCCGAACTCGGCACCAGACAGGTTGGTATACCACCGCTTTCCGTTTCGCTGGGAGGTGATTCGTAATAGTACAAGGCCGTGTACGGGCCAGTTCTTGCTGCTTTCTGTACCGTCTTCCGCAAGGACAACGATGGTTCGTGGTGCTGCCTTGATCTTTACCATGACTTCGTGGATGTCAATCTTTTGTTCTGGTCAAATGTCAGCTTTTCATTACATCACGCGCGGATATATGCCGGACAACTTACTCTTGAGGAGCTTTTTGAGCAACGGATGCATATACGCCATGGGCAGGAACTGCGAGCTGAAGCAAAGCAGCGCGTGTTTGGTGGCTTCGTCAGGAAACACATCGTCGGCGAGTTTCAGGAACGGGTGGCTACTAGGGGTATCACCTTTGTAGGCGATGATCTCATTGGCCTCTTGTTCAATCTTTGTAATCGACATCATGTTGGTAGCTTCTAGGAACATAAAGGAAGCTCGCTGAGTGACACTGGCAGCTATCGTGAGGGAGGTTTCAAGCTGGAAATCTAGGCAGAAGTTCTTGTGATTTTGCCAGTCAGCGAATTGGTGCTGCGTGGTGCAGTAGTGTTGTTGTTTGCAGCCCGCGCACATCTGTGTTGCTGGCGCGTGGCAATAAGAGCAGGAAATTGAAGCCATGAGGAAGCAACTGCAGAGGGTCTCTTGAGAGATGATGTGAGAAGCCAGAGAATGTGGCCACTTCCAAGCTTCATATACTTCCACCGCCTCGTCATGTGTCGACTTGTTAGCAGCTGACCGCAGTCACGATCATAACGAAGGCAACAAGCATCGACTCACACAAACAACGAGACTACCCTTAGGTTAGCAGATACGAGACGTCGGTAGGTTGCAAAGTGGCAAGAGATGCGAAGACGAGGTTGCTAGATCCATCGAAGCTTGCGAAGTTTGGAGCGCGCCATATTAAAAGTGCCGTGCTGGCTGGCTGTCGGAGGCAGGAGCAGAGAGGAAGGCGACGACCGCGCCAGAGAAGCGTATTGACGCGGCATATTGCACTACAGTGATTATGCAAACATCCTAGAAGGCGATACGTTCAGCCTGATAGTGTAGACAATGATGGCTGCGATGAAGAAGACGCGATGGAAGAGAAAACGCGACTTCCGGAATGTTGACGGCAGCCACGGTCCACGCTAAACCATATGCGCACTAGTCCCTTGTCTCACCCGCGGAGCTTTATCGTGACATCCGTGCAGACACCTTGTGTATCTTGAGGAGATGATGAGTGACGCAATGTTTGGGTCGGCATGTCAGTATGAATTCAGCTTCCCAGTTCAAACTATGTGTGGGAGGCTCTACCACCTAAGCCTGGTACATTGGCGCTCCAAGTGACAACCCATGTAGACTACCACCACCAATGAAACGAGTATTCAACACCTGATGCAGCTCTAGCGCAGATAACCGAATGGCCGGCAAGAGTTCTAGACATCTCTTCAAGATATCGTTGAGCATAGGCGTGTAAGTTGTCCCAGCTGGGCTACTTTGAAACGACTGCAAGTAAAGGCTCGGCATCGTGGTCAATCTACACAGCGCAACGATAACCAATCCTACCTGAAATACATCATTTCTTTTTTTGTTCGGCATTTCGAATGGCGGTGGACTGAAATCCTGTTGCTGTCGCAGCTCAATGGTTTGCCACTGATCAACACTCGATATGCTCGAGCCAAAGTCTCCGAGAACGACTTTCGGCCATGACGGTTCGTGAGAGGCAGGAAGACCGAGAAAGATATTGCGCGGGTAGATGTCTCGGTGAATTATCCAGTCACATGTGTCGTTCAGAACTGGAGGGTCGCCTCGTTGCATATGTCGGAGAGCCCGGGCTAGCGACCTGAAGACGTGCCAGATGAAGCCTTCGTGGAACAGTTTGCGCTGGTTGACATGCTTTTCGAGCAAAGTCCATAGATCGCCGTAGGCGTACACATCCATGACGAGTGCGCCAGTACCTGTTGCCAAGTTCAGCTCATGCTCGCGGTAGGTGCAGATATTAGGGCAGTTCGATAGACGTATGAGATGGCTTATCTCGCGCGCGACGAAACCTGACGCAACGTCTCCGGGATCGAATTCCTTGCGCACAGCAAGCTGGCCGGTTGTTTTGTTCCTGAGGAGCCATATCGCCTTGTGAAAGTTGCCAACGGCCTGTATTTGGCGTACGCTGTCATATTGGTTGCGCGTCGGGACGCTGGCACGTTGTAAATCCATCTTGTCGCTGCTCGTCCGATACAGAACCGGTCTCTCAGCGCGAGATAGTTCATAAATACTGGCCCGGTGTATTGGCGACGCGTTTGTTGCCTGTTGGCGCTGCGTTTTCCTGATGTAATGGCAGCTCGCGATCGTCATAAGTGCCACATCTCGTGGGCATGACGAAGGAAAGCCGATGGTGACTTTGCAGTGCTCTCGTGGCGTGACCTCCTCTTCGTCTTCGTGCTCTCATCCGGGCGCGCTATCGCCTGGGTGGTCTGTCAACGCGCTCTCACCTCCGCTCTCACACCTCACAAGAGCCGCCACGCGACCGCACCAACGCGTCTCTCTCACCTGCTCCCAAAATCTCTGCTCTCACCCCGACAGCCCTGTACCCCGCAGTTATAACCCACCCAATTCCCGAATCCACCATCGAAACCACCTTTACCTGCCAACAAAAGGGTGGCGGCTAGCACACAGAAAAAACATTCAGCACTCCAGCCGGTTATAGCCGAAGCCAGAGGAAGCTCAAGGCCACAAAGAAGAATCGAACAAGAAGCCAATCAGAAAAAACATCAAGCTAGTCGTGATAAACTGCCATTAAAGAAGCAAGTTTCGTACCTGAATAGAATACAAGGTTCCATGGTATCTTTTTGCTAGTTGAGGGTGATGGTTCGAGGCTGGTGAGAGGAGGAATAGAAAGTTCTCTTTTTGCTAAGCTTTTGTCGGTAAGTGAAAAGCTGAAATGCGCAAGGCTAGATAATGGTGTGTTTGCGCAATGCGCGATGTACAGAGAGAGTATATAGACTGTTAATACTGCGTTGCAGCGTGTTGATGTTGTAAATTATGACTCCTTCTAGGTGCTGTGATTCCGAGAAGTGGACCTTAGCTAATAGTTATTCCGCGATGTATTAAAAGTCTAGGAAGCGGTGTTGGTCTCATGCTCGCAACGGGGCAATCCGCGCGCAAGGGTTTGGTAGATTCCAGCTTTCCAATGGATGCGGAAGATCAGCGAAGTTATCAATTATATCTCTTAGCTCTTCCTTCAACGTAAGCCATTAAGCCCGTTGACAGTGTGGATCGCAAAGCACAAGGAATAAAGCGAGCGATTTTTGACAAGACTGCTGCGTCCAAAATAGCTACAGGTAAAGGTGACGAGAGTATAGGGTAAGACAGCAACTGGAGATGACGACAGGGTGAGTGAAATTACATTGAAAGACCGACTGCGCATGCGAACAGCATAGGAACGTTGCGAGCAACGTAGATAGAAGTATGACGGAAGAAGGTCTGTGGTTCGCGCTATGAACTAGCCAATCAGGCTTTGCATAGCTCCGAGTGGGGCAGCCACTCCTCGAAGCCCGCGTCTTTCTCGTACGTGACCCCAACATCTGCAGAAACGTTGCTTTCATGCAGCTTGAACGGCGTCGCATAGGTATACTCCTCAAAGCTCGAAGGACTGGCTGAATTGCTGTTCATGGGTAATGCGTCAAAGTCGGGGCACTGGAAGCGCATAGCACGATGACCTCTGGGATGAAATGCACAACGCGGAGAGCCGGACATGGCAAAAGCAAAACAAGAGCATGAAAGAACGGCAAACTTGACATTGCAATGATGATTAGTGGGCCGCGGCGACGTCTTCACATGACGATCAGGCACAAGACAAGGATTCTAGCGCGCTCGCTAGCCCCTACGTCATCATTCTCCGCAACCCAGCAACATAACACGACATCTTTTCGTCCACTTGACACCATCACACAGCCATTGCAAACTCAATTCCCACACTCTCATATCAACTTCAACCCCTCTTCTCACACCACAAATAACCTCAAGTCAATCACAATGGGTTGGTTCAGCTCCGACGAGAAGTCCTCCCTCGCGACTCACCCCGTCAACGTCGATGTCACCACAAAGCACGGCTCCGCCGCTGAGCAAGATCGCTTCGGCGAGCACTTCGGCGCTTCCACAGATGCCATCCGCCGTGGTGTCGACAAGGGCCTCAACAAGCTGCAACAAGCTGCCTTGGCCAAGGGCGAGGGCGCCGAGCAGGACCGCTACGGCGACCACATGAGCATCGGCGACCGTGGCTACAACGCCATGAAGTCAGCGGCCAAGTACAAGGGCGATGGCGCCGAGCAAGACCGATACAACGCACACTTCAGCCCTGCGCTGCACAGCATCGATGCTGCCAAGGCGATACAAGCTGCGGGAAGCGTGGCTGCCAACGGAGAGAAGAACGCCAAGTACTTTGGCCTTGGATACGATGGTCAGCAGAGGGCGAAGCTGATGGCCGGTAGCGGCATGGGCGCTGAGCAGGTAAGCTATTAGCTATATGCGCTGCCTTGGACACGATACTAACACTCTCGCAGGACCGTCTCGGTCAGCACTTTCACCTCACCAGGGACGCCGTCGCCGATGCCGCACAACGGGTGAAGGACGGTGCGAAGGATGTTCTCCCCAGGAGATAGATGGATAACTCCATGACGCGAGCATGACTATAGCGATGACCTTGGCTAAGACTGCGACGGCCGTATACGTGGACAAACCAGTATCTGCCCACGATGTATCAATACAAAAGAATAATTTCATATCAGAGTTCAATGTATTTGGTTTGATCCACGTCAATGAGATGCAACACAGCTGCTTCAGTGAAGACTGTCGTCAGCAACATGTTGACGCAAGGATGGATAGTCTCGGCCAATGCTGACAAAGAAACAGACTATTTTGCACATCTTCCTGGTATGCAGCAACTAGGCCTGGGATGCGGCCTAAAGCTGCAAACGATCTATTCTATCCTTTGTTGATCCCCTTGGTCATTGTATGCGCATTGGCTACACGCCACGCCGCTGCATCGCTATGCAGGCCGTGGCATCACATCCTTGCATTATGGCGGCACACTCCAGAGCTGCACACGTACTACACGCTCAACGCATCCCTTGGCTTCGTACCACGTTGTGGTTTTAGGCACATACCTAGATACGGCTCTTCATGTTCCCATGCCCCGCCTTACGTACCCCACATCTACCACTTGGGGTCTGACATCAGCCGTCTAACAACTAACGCGTCCCATCCCAGAATAGTGCAAACAATGACTAAATTAATATCCCGAGTTCCAAATCTGCCCACGTTGACATGGTTGTCATCACGTACGTAGTACAGAGTTATTAACCAAGTCTCAACAGCAAATGTTTCTTACGAAAACGTAGGGTTGCGCGTTGCGCGAATTGATGCGGGTGATGTCGTTGGTGCTTGGACAGGTTGGGCCGGTGAGTAAGAATAGTTGTGTTAGCGACAGTGCCCAGGTACCTAGGTAGGCTGAGCAGAGACAGCCGGATAGGAAGTCTAAGAAAAGAACGGAACTACAACTCACCGTGTACGGATATACGGTAGCGGTATGTGAAGAAGATATAAAGTCGACATGATAACTCGTTATCTCATCTTCCCACCTACAGCATCCTCAACACACTCTTCTACACCTTCCACATCACACCCCACCAACGCTCCAACCAAACCACCCAACACCATCAAAAAATGCAGCTCACCCTCCTCCTCGCCCCTCTCCTCGCGGCCTCCGCTCTCGCAGCCCCAACCAACATATCCACGCGCCAAACCCGTACCCTGCGCGTGCAACTCTCCAACGACGCCACCGAAACCGGAGCCCAGCGCGAAATCCCCGCAAATGGCAAGTATTATCCGTGTACGAACCGTTGTGACACAACCGCTGACTCTCTACACCATCTTCTAGGCATGCGTATCTCCATCCGCGCCAATTTCGGTAACCTAGGTTCTCCCATTCGCGCAAACCGCGCACTGATTGTGGGGAGCGGGAGTGGGAGTTGTAGCATCTTTACCGATGCTGCGGCTACGAGGAGGATTGCTACTATTGTGTAAGCTTACTTTCCCCTCTATCCAATTTCTTAGATTAGGTCGAAGTAATAATGTTGGAATGTGGGCAAGAGCTAATTCGATGATAGGCCCGGTGGCGCTGATGCGGAGTTTGGTAACACGAACCTTGATAATGGAGTCATTATTTGCCAGTAAGCTTCAATGGCATCCTGACTTGTTGGGTTGGAGGTATGATGGACTCATTCTGGGAGAGGCGTGCTGGACAGCGATGGAATTGGGTTACGAACTCCTGTTCACTGACGTGTAATGGATATGGTGTTGATGTTTACTTTGCAGTCTTTCGTTAAGTTTGTATTAGACATTTTATCATGATTAATCCTTGCACGTATACAAACGCATCCCTTCTAATAATGTACCATACACGCCGCATCTACTACGTGCACACATAGCCGCCGTCTTGGCTTAGTTTAGCGATCTCACCAACAACGTCTCGTTGAGCAACCGTGACAGAAGTTATATCCAATATGCCGGAAAGGTCGCACCTCCATGCCCCCAAGTCGATCCTTCCACGATGCGCATTCAAGTCTCTGAGGTTTACTTCGCCCACATCGACGAGAACCTCCTACTAATGCGCCGACTGAGCGACCTCTTTGGCTTTTCTTCCGCCTCTACCGCCGTAGACTCTTGCTCCTTCTTGCCGAAAGCACCAAGCAACTTCCCAAAAGATTTGCGTCGCGCATGTTTCTTACCTTGAGTACCTGCAGCAGAAGGCGGGGGAAAGACCGGCATGCTGACACCGCGCTGTTGCTGCGGACTTCGAGCCGGAAACTGGAAGTCGAAGTTCAGAACACCGGTGTTGGTTGTGAACGGAGGGTTCAAAACATGACTGATGGTCGGGAGTGGACGACGAGTGATTGAGCCGATTGGTGCGGGTTCTTTGATGACATCTGCATCTGAGCGCGGCTCGATGAACCTACGGACGGAGTTCGCGACTTGATCGCGCGAGCTCTTCGAGCCGTTGCGTTTATGCCTCTTCTCGACGTGGATTGGCTCCATGTCAGCGTCGCGGTCATCCAAGCTATCGCGGTGGTGAAGGTCCGAGGCTCCCGTATTCATCGAGACGCCGCTGCAGGGTTTCGTCCAAATGTACTCCTCAGTGTCGTATTCATCATGCACCACCCAGTTTGGCGAGCTGGGAGACGGCGCAGAAGTTCGAAGCGACCCGTCTTTAGCCTTTCGCAGTATCGGCTTCCGCTTAATTGTCGACGCCTTCTCCAGTGCATTCACAGAATTCACATCGTACGTCAGTGGAAGAAGACATGCAAGCTCGTGACTAGCGGTCGCATCGTATGTGCGGGAAGTGATAACCATAGTATCATCGTCAGAATCGGCGTTGTACGTCCGCGGAAGAAGGATCGTCATCTCTGATGCAACATCCGGATAGTAGGAAACCGGTGCGAGGGTCGTAAGCCCATCATCCTGTGCCTGAGCGTGAATAGGGACAGCACTGAGCGGACTCTTTCGTGGCTCAGGACCATGCTCGTCCAAATCGAGGAGATTCTGCAGAGAAGGATAGTCATCTGATTCCGACTCGTAGTGCATGGAGGGTGCAAAGTCTGGTCGGGAAGCAAAGCGCAGGAGTTTCTTCACAGGCTGCTCCGATGGCCATGGGGATGCCCAGTCATGAGTGGCGCAGCCATCTTGAGCGCTTGCTTGGGTAAAGGCTTCCAATGGGTGGAGTTCGCGAACATCGTCGGTATCCATGTCCGAGAGCGAGAGCGCATATTCGTATTGCGAGAAGGGGCTTGTGTGGGAGTTGAAGCTCTCGGTTTCATTGAACTTCTCAATCCTGCGTAGCGGCAAATATGGCTCAGTCGTTGGGGATGGTGCTCCAGCTCCCGGAGAAGATTCGGCTGAGCTAGGGGTGTAGGATTTAATGGACGGTGTGCGCTCGTCTTCTTTGGTTTCGTCTGCTGTCGTTCTCGGTGATAGGGTGCAGTCGTGGAACTCTTCCGACCTGCCTGACTCCATGGTGGGGGTTATACTGCTGTATCCTGGCAGCGACTTTCGTTTCGTAGCACGCACTTCAGAAGGCGTGTCGCAGCTGAACACATCCACACCTGAGTAGTCGTCTGGAGAGGAAGTATGGTGTGGATCTGTCGGCCAATGGCTATACTGTCCTGCTGTTGCACGAAACGATTCCGTACCGTATGCAGTACCCTTTAGTGGATCACTGCGTGGGACCACCTGTGATAAGCTTGTCTTGTTTCGTCGATGGCCACGGTGGAATGGTGTACTACCCGCTGTGGAGTCATCCAAGGCTTTGAAGGGTTCGTTGTTCGAGGTCTCGCTCTGGACAATGCCTTTGTTACTAGATGTGATGAGGTTCGATGCAGCTTGAATGCCGTCCTGAGCAGCTTCATTTGCGGACACGGTCGGCGGGGGCGGCGGAAGAGCGAAGTCGTCGATCTTGCCTTTGCGCTTCAGCGGGGAGCTAGGAGCCGTGCGTGCACCGGGGCGATAGTGAGGCGTTGACGTCGGTGAAGAAGGCTTTGCCTGAGATGCCAGTGTGTTGCGGTCACTGCGTGCGGGGACGACTACATCAGCCAGTGGGCTAACCATGTTGATGGTATTGACTCGCGATGCGACGAGACCACGTGGGGGAAGACCGCTCGATAGTGATCGGGCACGATGTCGCCGAAGTGGTGAGTGTAATATGGGACCAGCTTTCCCATGCATATGGTTCTTGGTGCTGGCAAACGGTGTGTCGGGCTGGGGCATAGTCATAAGCTTAGTGTTGATGAGAGTGCTTGAAGGCGAGCGGATAGCTGGCTCATCCTTCATTCTCAGCGGTGGCGCGGTGGCGTCAGATGGACAGAAGATCCCTAAATCGCGATAATGTTAGATAATAAGACCCGGCCCACGATATGCGAAGTCGAGGTCGGTGGAATAAATTTCTTGAGATGCGTAAGGGCGCTGTAGTCCTGGTGGATAGGCGCCGCCAGCGACGGGGTGAGCCGCGCTAAAAGGACGAGTAGCTGTTGTTATATCGTATAAGCGTGCGTGTCCCACGTGCTCAGGTGTCTGTGCGCCTTGCGCAGATGTATATGCAAATGGGGAGTGAAATCCTCATGCAAGCACGCCATCTCGGCGGTCATCCCGCGGCGGTGTCGTCTGGTGAATAGACCTCATGCTGAAGGGTTGCGCAATTGGGCTCTCATTTGGCCCCAATCAAATCTCCTTTGTTGCAAACGTTTCTCATACACCAAACCACCTCGCACCGCAACTGTAGCAATCTTTCCAATGCAACCTTTCAGGAGCCAACGACCACAATTTGCAACCTTACAACCCAAAATGCAAGCCCACGAAGATGCCTTGGCTCTACTCACGGGAAGTTCGGTAAAGACCACCGAGACGGGAATGGAGCATCTCTTGAGTGTATACGGTGCCCAAGAGATCTGCGAGCCAACGAACAAGACGTGTCATACAACCCAGCGTAAAACGATACTAGATGAACTCGCGGAGATTCTCCATCTGCGTGGTCGGTTACAACAGATGGGTGCTAATTTCTCCGACAATGGAGAGCTTCTCACTTACGGTAACCCATACGCGTCCACGGAGTTCCAGACAATGCTACGTCTCGGTCCCATGTACGAAGAGCAATGGAACAGTTTCTTCATCGATAACTATGAGCCTCCCGACCACGGAGGCGCAGACAGACAACTATGGTCTGACCTACGTACTCTAAAGAGAGTTCTCCGGAATGAGGGCATCGTGTTCGGCCGCGAGCATCAGCGCTATTCTTTTGGTAATTCCAGCACGAAGCTTCGAAGACTGTGCTGTGCGTATGACGAACTGCGGATCGAATGGCTGACAATGATGCGGTCGAGCCTCCCAGCACTCGATGACAGACAACTGTACACCCTTCTTGGGGAATCTTCTAGTGATGAAGATTCGGATTCTGACGACGATGCGAAGCGAATCAAAGACAGAATCGTGGTCATAGACGGCGAACAGTCACGCGATAGGGCTGGCCGGACTGGAATGCTGCGACACCGAAGCAGCGGCGTTCCGCAAGCCCTTGGCTGGCGTTTCAGTGACGATTCGAAGTCACCGCGCCACAAAAATGACTGGTGGAGGTTCAGCGACGACCTGGAGTCTGTACCGGTATGGGAAAACATGGAACGTGCTGACGCAGAGGATACCCAAGTCGTACCGCAGGCTGTCTCGATGCCAGTCATTCGCTACGCCAAAGAGGCCACCAACGTTCAACATGTCTCCAAAGCAGCGGCTTCACGACCACCAACTCCCCAACCTCTGATGCTATACAGCCCATCGCCATTGCAAGTGGGTAACACGACCTCTCGAACTGCTCGACTTCATCTACCAACACCCTCGCAGCACATGAACACTCAGCGCACGATACCTCGAGCGGAGCCCATGCTAAGTCAGAGAGAAGATAATGTTGTCAACACCAACGTGAAGCCGATTTGGGCCCGAGAAGTGAGCAAAGATGATAGAAAGACTAAGAGGTGGGGCAGAGTTCGCCAATGGTTCCGACATGCACTCGGTCGCAAGTAGGCCGATATGAGGTAGTAGAACCTTATCGTGTGCAACAGAGTAGATTCAGGACAGTTCGCTTCCCTCGAGATCCAGTTCCCTGTTGTTCCTTCTTGGAGTGAACCGTGTTGCGGATAATGAAGTGAATGCGAATGCTTGCGTTGCTGGCTCGGATGGTGATGCAGACTTGGTGAACCCAATGATTCTGTGTCTGCTTCTGAGTCGCGAATGGCCTAGTCGCTTGTTCACTGTGAGCTTCCATGTGAGGTATTGAATATAAAAATCCACACCAGCACACCAGCAAGACCGTGATTGCATACATCAACGAGGAAGCCTACTTTTACTTCAACTCGCCTACCGCTTCCAGTATAGCGATCGCGTCGACATCCAAGATGAACGAAGAACGTAGACATACGAGCCGTCAGCCCGGGGATCCGTCTCGGCCATCAATAACAAAGGAAGACATCGGACAAGCCGAGCGTATGGTTGCAGACGCCGTCCAGATGGTTGACGCAGCCATGTCCAGACATGCTACCAAAGCTCTTGCAAAAGAGAACAAGGCGTTAAGCGACGTTTGCAAATCTGCAGAGTTCAAGTCCAGGGTGGCGACTTTTCGGCGAGACATTGTAGGCTTCATACCAAGGGTGAATCAGCTTCGTTGCTAACGAATTCTAGCTTGCCAAAGAAGCTTTCCTGCCCCCAGACTCCGAGCTGGCCAAGGAGATCGCGCGCGAACGTATCGATAAACGGGTGCATGACTTCGAGATAAAGCTGCAACGGGACATGCTTGATGAGCAGGCCCGACGGCCCGCTAAAACTTCGAACAAGCCTCCTCATCGCCATAGGCCGAAAACGCCGAGGTCTCGTCGAAAGCCTTCATCATCCGGAAACTTGTTGCCGAGCGAGAAGAGTGAAGGATTTTGTCATAGTATCGATGGGATGGCACCCGTTGAGGTGAGTTCTACCGGCTTCGTCCACTTCCCACGACATCCTGACGACGAGAATGACTGGGAACGTGTATCTCGCCATTCGACACCGGAGCCAGAAGAGAAGGAAAAGATCGGAGGCGACGTCAGTGGATCGAAGGGATTATTGCAGGGCTGGTTTGGCAAGTAAGCTCCCGGAGACGATGAGCGCCTTGCCCTGAAGTGGGGTGGAATGAGTTGTATCCATATAGCATAATCGGGCCCTTGACGGAGAGAGGATTTGAGGAGATCGTATGGGGAGTCTCGTGTAATGAATCATTCAGCAGGAATGCCGTCAAATTTCATCGTCCTTCGTATGCAGACGTGGACTTTTCAGCACACACATTGGTAAAGCTAGGTAATGTACTTTCGGAGCGCGCCATTGCCTCATGATGAAGCGTGCCAGGCTCCTGCAAAAGATCGCTTCTTTTCGCAGTTGCATGTCCATTAGCACAACGCGACTAGAACCGCAAGATGCGTTGTGCTAGATACTGGCAGGCGCCTCTGACGCGTTCTCGAAAGGCTTGCATTGTGTGTCGGACTTGCCGTCATGGCGTGTGGGTGAGTCTTTCATGGCTCTGAACGTGATGCATGGCATGAGAATGTCGAATCTTAGTTGTGGAGGTACAGTGAAGGGCTCTGGGTCGCGTAGCCCGCAACGGTGAGCTGCGACACGCGTGACGTAATCATATGCTTTAGCGTGCTGCTAGCGTTCCTCCCTCTTTCTCCCCAGCTGCATCATGACAACACACCATAGCACGACTTCGCTGCCGGTATCAGAACAGGTGTTGCATTCTTGAGCATTGCGTCCTTGGGTCTACTACATATGTTTCTTATCGAACCATTCGATTCACCCTGGCTTTCGCGACGGCATCGTCTCCACGCCCCAAAGCTCGCTTTCGAACGCGTTCCACCACTTGTACCAGGTCATGCGTCGCATCATCTATACAAGCATGAAAGACCGTGTTCAATCAAAGTCGACATGACACTCCATCAAAACGCGACAGCTGTTTCCGTCGTCTTTGCTAGGAATCTAGACTTCGCTACCGCATCTCCTTGTCACGAAGTGCCTTGTGCACGACCATCACCTTCCGGCTGCGAAGAATGGGCACCGTACGGCTCCCATTTGGAAGTCATATCCCTTGTCAGACCCTCCATGGCATCGTTCTTGCTGATGCCGATCTTGACGTCTGTAAGCCGCTCGCTCAGATCCCCGACGCTGGAATCGTTGGCCTTCTGCCCTTTCTGGACTGTTGATGAAGTGGCTTGACTGGTATTCGGATGCTTCGACGGCATGCTTTCCGGCTGCCGGAGTTATTTGGAATAGTAGCGATTCGGATCGTGTATGACGGATGTGAAGGCCAGCAGACCAAGTCACTAAGATGTATCATGCAGAGTTGTTGGTTGCTTCAGTCATGTGCGACGAGGTGAAGTTTTGTTTAGGTAGCCTGCACTTGCTTAGGTATACCGTGGGCTGGACAAAGTTTGGGAAAATATTCACTGCGATGCCGCGTGAGTCGGAGTAGAGATGCTCTTGTTTCATTGACAAAGATCAGCGCACGGAGGTAGCCTAGGAAATACTCTCAGACATCGCGATACAAATCCGCCACGCTTGAACGTATCGTTATCCTTTTCGGCACTCGACAAACAACGGTGCGACAATCAACATCGTTTGCTGCCACGTTTCCGATCCACCTCAAAGCAAACGGATGCGATTCTACGCCAGCGGCCACTTGATGCTGTATGATTAGCGGTAGCTGCGCTGCTTCATCTGCAACTAGCTTATTGTTCGAAATCGCGGTCTCTCCCATCGACAGCGATGAATCCATATAGGCAGAGCGCGGTGTTTTCCGTCGGTTCAGATTCGTCGTCTGTGTACAGCGACGATGAGCACAAGTCGGACTCTAATCCGGTGGACATGCGGACCCTCAACGAGTCGTATTCAAAAACCAGCACTCGGTGTACTCGCCGGGAAAGTGCGAAAACCTGCGAAGAATCATCAACTGTGTCATTTCCAAGACACATCACCACTGTGCCCTCAGGCAACGAACGTAGCCCTAGCCGAGATGAACCGAGCAGTCGTACCGCTGCGTATCGCTTTGAGACATCGGAAGAAGCTGAAGAGCGCCGTCGGCGAATCGCAGCCCAGGCAAGGTCGGAGCAGCCCAACTGGCGTGACACCACCCTGAACGAGCCTAGGACATATATGCAGCAGGTCCTCGCCGAACATGATGCTGCCACTGCAAAAGATCACGTCGGTGGATGTCGGTTAGAAGACAATGATGATGAAGAACCTATCGCTCGACATGCGATGCCCTCTCGTCGACACCTCCGCATGGTTAGTGCGGATGACGTCCCACCGCGACATACGCGCATCATGTCCATATCGAAGACACCATTAGCGTCGTCTAATTCCAGAGGGACAATAGGAGGATTGGGTCGCGATACTGGCCCGGAAGAATGCATTCTGCAAGAAATATGCGTAGCCCAGAAGCTATCCGTGTTCGTTCTACACCTATCACGCCTAGGCCACGAGCGAAGTCAATTCCTAACACCCCACCAGCGCTGCACTTAGATGAGCATAATCCATTCGCACCGGATCCCGAAAAACATCAATCCGCCGCACTCTCGGCTCTAGCTGGAGGTAAAAGGGAGCCTGGTGAGGCCTTCTCTCGCGAATCATCTGGTCAGTGGCTCGGAGGACCAGCTCGCCGATCTTTACTCGCTGCGCGGCGTCGCGGAAGGGCGGACTGGCAGAAGAGCGGGTTGTTCTCATCGACAGGCCAGCAATATGGACTTGGGAATTGTGACGAAGGTTACTTGGCCGGCAAGTATGTGACATCCATCAGGGAGGATATATCACCGGAGAAAGGAAATCGGAAACGTGATGCATGGAGGCGTGTGTCGTGCTTCTCATGATGGTAGGGTCTAGTGATCAATTAACCTATTTCCCGAATATGCATCTCCCGCGAGAACACTTGTGAAGTCTAGTAATGCGATGCTGTGAGGTTCTGGAGGACCCATGTTGTAGCCACAGGCGTTCCAAGGCACAGGCGTTCCAAGGGTCATTGTTCGATGTTGGATGCGTGTCGACTAAATGAGACATTGTTTCGTTGCATTGCCGTCATGTTCTTCACGGTTTGTATATTCCATAGTATGCATGAGCGTTAAGTGTATGTCCATCCGTCTGTCTAGGTAAGCTCTGGATACCACACGTGATAGTGTCTTGGCGCGGTGTTTCACCTAAGTTCCGGTAAGTGCAGCCGAATCAGGTATAGGCGCGGGCTTGGCGCAAGCGACCTGCAACAGCGACTATCCTCCATCCTTTCACTCCACCACCCTCCATCAACAACACTGTTCCGCAACACTGCCGTCGCATTGTCAATAATCATTAAAAATTCACAGTAGCCCTGTCGCTTCACGTTGCTATGTGTTCTCTCGCTATAGACTACATAGCGGGCGCACAACCCCCCGCCTCTCGCATCCAGCACACTCACAATCAGGACAGTTCGACTGGTTCGGTGGCAAACTCCGTATTTGAATTTGCTTCAAGCCGCAGAAGTTCTTTCGACTCCGTCACCTCAACGCTCTGTTTCGACAGTCAGCCATCACCCACATCGCGAAACCAGAAGGGAGCAGCATCACCCAAAATGACGACGTACTATCATTATGACTCTGACGGTACCGTCACTGCATCCAAGCTGCATCCCAAAGCTGCGGTCTTTACGCCTAGTCACCCAGATGCGGAAGCGTATGAGCGGAATGGAGACGTCGTTGGAGCCTATCTTGCACGTCGTGACAAAGGCAACCCCGCACATGGCACCTCAGAAGCACATCAGAGCTGCAGTCCTACTCGTTACCCGCTAGTAAAACCCTTCAACGGCAGTATAGATGGCCAAATGGCCAACCAAATCTACAAGCCCAGCGATGGAGATGAACTCTCAGGGTATAATACCTCTCCAGTCGAGGCGTTCAGTACACTTGGCTGGGTAGGCTGGGCGGCGTATTCAGGTATGGAGCGCCCGTATCCGAATCCTGAGGACATACGCCACCTACACACCCTGCAAAGTCTGCTGCCTTATCTCCAGCCTGAGCGGAAAATGAACGCGCTCAACGGACCGGTATTAGACATCGTAGAACAGGATACAGGAGTCACGCTCGCTTATCAGGTGCCAAAGAAGATGCTTGTGCTGTTCCTGGGTCGTAAGGTGGTCAACAAGTTCATCCGCACAACACACCGCGAGGACGATGTGAATTGGAAGGGCGCACCAGTATGTCAAGAGATGGATTTACCTCGGGGAGTAGCGAGCAAGGCCGCTATGAAAGCTCTCATAGCTTGGATGCTGCGAGCTTGCAACTACCAGACGATGAGCTCGATGAAGCAGATTCGCGTCCCAAAGAACACGTTTGTCGCGTGCTCGTTGGCTCGCACGATGGAGCTCTTCGATCTCCACAAAGATGCATTAAGGGTAGATCATTACATCGCCGAGTGCCATCTCGCTCGACCAATCTTTGCTGTAGAGTTGGGGACGCTTTGGAACTGCCTCGGCAAGAACAGCCGGTACACCTACGCAGCGATCAAGGCTGTTGGCCAACGGCTCCGCGAGTTTGAGGCCGATAGCGAAGGTCAGGAGATACCAGGAATCGATGAAGATATGCTGGCTATGCTAAGAGAGTATCCAGACCTGGAAGCGCGTGTACGCGATCCGGAGGTGAATGAACAACACCGCCCAGTCTTTAACACGAACTGGATCAAACGGATAGGCGATAAGAACGACCATAGCCGGGAGGGATGTGGAAAGCAGTTGAAGAAGAAGTCTTTTAAGCCAGCTGCAAGGCGCCTCGAAAAACACCAGCCAATAGCAGAACCGACTGTATCGCCACAGCTACCGGCTAGTCCAGAAAGCATGGTACGCAAGTTCGCGGTGTTGCGAATCGTGGCGGAAGATACGAGAGCATCGAGCAGCGACGCGCAAAGCAGCGCCGAGCCAGATGAAAGTGTCAAGAAGCCCTAATGGCGGACAGAGGGGCTGTCGCAGGACGATAGTAGTCACATCCACGACAATGCGGTGTTAAGAACCGCTGAGCTTCTACGATGCCGAAGCCAAGAGTGACGAGGTTATTAGCTTACTTATTGAGTAGCGGGGCATAATCGGAGGCGTATTGGCATGTTCGGGAGCAGGTTTTCCTTGTACACATTGCATAGCGTGGCGTTTGAAAGGCAGAGATGACATCTGGTGTGTCGCATTCGATGATGATCGCCAACGAACTGCGCAGAGCTTGGGAGGACACAGCGACGAGAATATACAGCATTTATGGCACTTTGTCAAATTGGAGAATATACGGCGTGTACGCCAAATGAATTGAAACAGAAGTATTTACACAAGAATCGTCTCTTCTGGACCCTGACATCGTCTCCCATCCGCAGTATTATTGCTTAATCGTCCTCTGCATCTTCGACGCATGCAATGCTCAAAAGTAACGTCCAAGCGCGCGACGGAACTTGGAAGAGCTGTTGATGCACTGAGAGTACCAGTCATTGCTCTTCACACATGTAGCAGGAGCCTCGCACTCAGTAGGGCCAGTAAAACCCTGACCACCGCACTGAGCGTAGAGCTTGGCAGCGCCGGCGGAAGATGAAGATCCGGTGGGAGCAGCAGGTGCTGGCGCAGCAGCAGCGGTAGTGGTAGCCGCCGGCTTGGGCTTGGTAGCGCTGCTAGTGGGAACGGTAGGCTCGGTGACCTTGGCTGGGGCATCAGCATCGACAACCTTCTCCGCTGCAGGGGCAGATGAAGACGAAGCACCGAGGTTTGCGGGACCAGCATTGGCCTTGACGTAGGCGGCGACCTTGCTGGCTTCCATGGGCTCAGGAACGTCGATCTTTCCAAGCTTTGCAATGAAGCCAGAGGATGAGCCTGCGGAGAGCTCGCCGCTGGCAGAGTCAACGCTGTTCTCGAGACACGCGCGGCCGAAGACGGATGAGCAGGCGTCGCCACCCTTGCCAACAAATGTGGTAACACCAGCAGCGTGCTCGGTGTTGGGCTGGTCAACGGCGACGAAAGCGTTACCCTCAACAAGCGCACTGACGCCGTCATAAGCATCGAATGCATGGCCCTTCATGTTCTCGAAGTAGTTGTTGACTGCGTGGAAGTAGCTGTTGACACCATCCTGACCAAGCTTGGGAGCGCGACCGGAAACGTCGTGGAAGTAGTTCTTGTCAAGGGTAAACTTCTCAGTCTTTCCAATCATCATCATCGTCCAGTAGTGGTTGTCGTTGCAGGTAGCAGAAGTGGTAGTGACGCCATCGAATTCGTTGTTCGAAAGGGTCGCCTCGGAGCCGTCGTAGTGGCTGACGACGAACATACGGCCGACGAGCGAGAACTTGCAGTGGTCTACCCAGATCTTGGTGTTTCCTCCCTGCATGTCGAGAGCATCGCCACCCCATACGACGCCGGGGTTGATGGTTGTGAATTCGACTCCCTGAATGATGACGTTACTGGCGTCTTTGGCGATGGAGAGACCTTTGCCCTTGATCACACCCTTTCCGCCAATACCAAGAATGGACTTGTTCGAGCCAACCTTCAAGGCGGATGAACCGCCTGCGTCGTAAGTGATCGAGCTGACGGGCGTCATATCCGAGCCACCACAGGAGAGGTCGCCCAAGTAGTACTGTCCGCCGCCGCTCTTAGCTGAGCAAGTGGTCTTATCGCAACCAGCACCAGAAGTGGTCTTGCCAGTGAAGTCGAATTGCTGAGTGAGAAGAATGACGCGCTCGGTGTCGTCGGACAGGTACTTCTCCAGCTCCTCGTTTGACGTTGGGGTAACAGCAGCAGCCTTCCCTCCACCAGTCGCGCCAGCACCGTAGCCATAAGCTGTACCGATAACCGATTGGGCGGACGAGGTGGCAGCTGCTGCCAGGAGTGCGATAATCTCGAAACGCATGTTGTAGTCTTGTTACAGGGGTTTCAAAGAGGCAAATGTAGTATTGTAGTGGGCGAGAAGGTAAAGAACGTCACTCAGACCAGCCGAAGATTCCGCTCAAGGTATTCAACGAGAGAAAATGAGAGGGTATCCGAATGGTAATCGAGAGAATGAGTGTAGCGGATGACAATAATTCACATCACGAGCAGCCCAAATCCTAATATACCTACCGCTCTGTAACCGCATACACCTGCTTCGTATCCATATTGGTTACGATCCTTCCCGTAACGGCCATGTTGCCAAACGCGTGATGGCATGAACCAATGTCAAGGGCGTCACGATGCTAGTGCCCGTCTGGCAGCGGCTTTGTTTCAATCGTCCTGCCACGCGTGCGCCAAGCCGGACATTGTTTCCATCAGCGCGCTTCGCAGTGCCAGATCAAGCGTTCGCAGGACGTTGTGGTATGGCGTAAGGATGCGTTGGGTCGCGAACGATGAGTCGTTGGTGGAAACAGCGGAGATGTGGAAGGATGAAACATCAGATAGGGCCAGCCAGGTGGTCTCGCGTAGCTAGCGCACCACGTGATTTTCGCGGGCCGGCTCCAGGGCTGTTCATTACCACGCAACCGGTAAACACGCATGAGCACGATGTGTAAGGTAAACTTTGCGATTATCTTCAGATTGCTCACCAAGGGTCGCGCAGTGTAGCAAACACGTACTACTATGGCGCGGGCGAAGTTGACCCGCTCAGTTTGCCTGGGTGTGGCGCGCGCTACAACACCCGCTCCTGCAATTTACACGTCTCCACCTCTCCACGCATTTGAGGTGACTGAGGGATGAGATTTCTTCCTGTATAGTAATCATATTCGCCCCTTACCTTTGCTCGAGAATCACCGAGGTATACTGCTCAATTCGGTCGCCATTGCGCTGAATGACACACAATTGTCCCCCAGACGCGCTACGTTGGAGGAAACATTCACAAACCGCGACATCACAGCAGCGCATGGCGATTTCATGGCAAAGATTCAACGCCGGTGGGACTTGCATCAACATAGATTCACTGGAAGGGCCACGCTATCGATGGCGATTGTCACGCATGACGAAGTCGATGGAATGGCTACGCAAGCGCGTTGTCTGAGTTGGCTGTGTCGTAGCTTTGCCAAAACATCGCTGGAGCAGGACTGCCAGCAACACCGCGCCTCATCTATTTGAGAGCTTACATCTTCAGTCAAAAATCTCGCGCATTCCATCTTGCTCAGCAACACAGTACCTTTGCTCACTTCTCAACATGTCGCACGATCAGTCACATCGCAGTGGGCACGACTCGCTTTCTGCTAAGGCTCGCGCTCGCCACAGGCAGCTCATTCGCCTCTCTATATTCCCATCCATTTCCGAATTAGAAACGTCCGTACCTCACCCAAGCGCTGTAACGCCCGATGTAGCGCAATCACCAATAGATCGGCATAGCCTGCGCTCGAGAACATACTACGGCACACAAGAGTTGCGGCCAAATGTGCCAGTAAATCCACAGCCCACTGCTGAATATATAGCACGCCGATCACGGAAATCCGGAGTTCGGTTTGGTACACACGACACACCCATACGTGATGCATCAAGAAGACGCCAATCTAAGATCGGGGATATGGAAGACATCACTTCCGGCCTTAATACCGCGCTGACGTCAAGGAGCAACGACGTTGGCCAGGTCCCTAGGCCACATAAGCCCCTTCAAGGTATCGATAAATTTGGCCAGGTATTTACTTACTCACAATGTGACGAACAAGCTACGAACGCCAACGAGACGCAGAATGGGACCACGGACGAGTCGAGATTGTCGGACGCGTCACGCACAAGACCGAGGGTATCGCATGATGAAGAACGAGGTCTAGGTGAGAGCTTTGAGATGGTACAGTATGAGGACGAATTGACTGAAGACTTTGAAGAGGTCGACTGAGACATTTCGACGGCGTTCAATGGCAAGGAGCCACGTTGACACTAGCAGCATGAAGAGAAGCTGTTCTGAGTAACTGGGGGTTGATGGAAAGACGTTGTAAACGTGATTGATCGGTATGACAGGATGATTGCTGAAGTGATCACTAGAAGAGCAGCTAGGTGCTACTACTGATGGCCTTCTGCGGCGCTGACTTCTAATCTCATGACGTGATTTCTTTACGCTTCAAGACCTGCGCACGTTCTCCAACACCATCTTTCATCAGTGATCAAATCATCAGAGCAACAGGCGGCCAACACAGCGCACAACAACCCCCATTCATTCACTCACACAATACTCACATACGGCGTGCAGATCCGTCTACCTCGCCGCCTGGGAACTTCGTTCCTCTTTCGTACTCCACACTCTAAGAACCACCTCCTGCAAGCAAGTCAAAAGACCAATTACCCTTACATTGTGAAACCACTGCACTTGACCCCCCTCAACCCACACACCCTAGATATCCTTGCCAACCCCCAAAATGACACAGCAAGACCCAAACTGGAACCCGCCTCGCGGACTCAGAAACCGCTACCCACACCGACGAGGCCATGTCCAAGCATCAAGTGATCCAAACCCTGCTCCACAGATCTTGCAACCGCAAAGTCAGCATACTGAGTCGACTCGGAATCCGCAGCGGAACAGCGATCCTTTCCAATATGATACGCAGACAATGCCATACTGGGACGATGCAAGCGGCGCAATCCACGATATCTCCAACGCGACACCGCGAAATCTAGATCGAGCATACGCGAAGAACGTTGCTGGTGAGACTGGAACTACGCATAGTGACCAGCAACAGCAGGACCAGGTTGCAGGTCTTCAAACGTATGGGCAACATCAGTGGCATAATCCGTATGCCGAGATTGTTGGCGGTGGACCGTATGCACAAGATCAAGTAACTCATCCTACATCTACATCTACGCCACCGAAGAACACATCTAGGACCGCTACCACCAAAGACAACAAGGGCGATAAACGGGATTTCACGCCCTACTTCGACGCGGCAGACCCGCGGAACCACACCGATCTGAAAAGTCCAGATAAATACAACTTCCTCGGAACGAAAGACGTGAATCAGAAGATACGCCAGGACACCACCGATGCGATCAAGCTAGCAACAGAGAAGCGTGGAAAGATGAAGCCAGATCAGCCATTACCATCGCTACCTGAACATGAGGCCCAGACGGCAGTGAAGAGGAAGAGCGCGCCCCTCCCCCCTATTCTACCTAGATTCGCGTTCGAGAATCCAACAATAATATCGGCGAAGTTGGTGAAGTCTAGGACAGCTTCGTTTCGCAAGAGTGCAGAAGCTCAACACAACACCACTCCTCTTTCCGCGATCGACGAAGCGCCATCACCGCTCAACGCATCAAACAAGCGACGAAGTGTCGACCGCACACCCACGCTCGACCGCGTCCTCGCCCTACGCGCAGAAGAACAAGCGAAAGCGCTTGCGAAACTCGAAGGCGATGTTCTGGAAGACAAGCCTACTGATGACGGCGAACAACATATCCCGCGCGAGTTGGTCAAGAGGATTGGTGACTCGGAAAGTCGGTGTATTCCTAGAGTCACGTCGCGGGAAGAGAAGAGGCATGCGTCTGAGTTCGTTCCGGGTATGGAGGTGGCGGGACGGGATGAGCGGGAGGGGATTTGTATGATGGATGATCTGGATGTTCGAGCGAAGGAGGAGGATGGTGCGGGTAGTAGTGTGTATAGCAGTGTCGATAACGCGCAGGAAGACGAGATCGAGACGTTGACGAAAGCGATAGCGGGGTTGAAGCCGTTTCAAGATCTACCGCCCCCGTCTTCGTCGCCGAAGAAGAAAGCGTTCGAGCGGCAGAGCGCTGTGCCAGTGGGGTTGGACGTAGCAAAGCTCGGGAAGGGGAAAGGGGGGTTGGGTGATGGGGCTGGATCTAAGACAAAGCCGGAGGAACTAGGTGGACGAACGCAAGTTGAGGCAGAAGCGGAGCTTTTGAAGGTACTCAATGCGACGAATGAAATTAGTGGCGGGGGTAGCGCGGGCGTGGGAACTTCGCAGGAGAACTCTTCAGTTGAGTCTTTTGCGACGGTTTCTTCGGATGACTACGAACAGATTCGGGCGGAGGATGAGCTGGCGTCGGAGCAGAATGGCGTGAAGAGGCGGTGGTATAAGGGCTTCCGGAAGGTTTGAGTGTTGACGCGCGGAATAGTAGGGGTATACGAGATGAGTGAAGTTGACGTTATTTGAGTTACAATATGAGCCTGGAGCCATACATTATATTGTGTCTTGTTATCTCACTGGTGTGTCATCCCGTCGGTACATTCAGAGCAAGCTTACTGTCGCCGAGGTGTAGATAGACTGCATTTGCCGGTTATCTCCAGTCAGTGTCATTTATCCACTCTTGGGTATCCGCCGCTGCTATTCCGCCACCCCAATCCTTTGCGCTGGCATTGGATGATATGATGCTGTTACTATGCAGAGACCTCAGTCTTGAGATTCTTCTTTTGGTGTCAGCTCACCATCGTAGTGGAGCAGTGTCTTAAATCCCTGACAATGGTCTTTGTAGTCTGCGAATCGAAGTTAGTGAAACTCCTAGAGGAGCATAACGATAGGTACCTACAAACCATCATACGTTCCACAGCACCTTCAATATCAGCATTAGTCTTGATAGACTTGTCAAGCGCTATAGCGGCAGCAATATACCAGTTTGGCTTCTCCCACGGACGGCCTTGTGGTTGCTGCTCATCTTCAACAGGGCGGGGTAGCAATCCAGTGTGGAGAGCCTGCCAGGCAGCCATACACCCGACCTGAGCCGTCGCTGACATGCGCTTCTCGAAGTTGTCTTTATCGAAATCGAATATGTCCAGGCCTTTGGGCTGAGGGATGTTGGTGGCGTCTAGCAGGTGCATCGCTAGCCTTGCTAAGTTGTTGCGATAGCTGATCATATCGTGAATGGCATCAAGGTTCTCTTCGGTTGGCTCAACCGTTCCACTGATAAATCCCCTGATGGCTCGATGGAATATGTGATTGCCAGACATACTATCCCTACCCGGGAAGCCGTTAATGTAGAGCTCGCACTCTCGCATTATGTCGCATGCCCTGGACTCGATAGTGCCTGTATGACCTCGAAAAGAAGGAGATTTTTGCACAGTGTCAGTCTCTGTGGCGTCGTGTTCCAGGCCGGCATTTCCAGTAGATGACGTGACTGGGGACTGGGAGGTCACAACTGGATCCATTGGTTCGGACATAGTGGGAAGGTGAGAATTCATGGCAGGCTAGATGTCCATGTAGAAGATAAAAGGATAAGTTCATCTAGTACGAGCCGATTTATATGCGTACGGGTAATTATCGAAGCCCATACGGTGGTAGCGAAAGTGCGATGAGTGGAGAATACCTGTGCCGGACCGTGGGTGGAAAGGTAGCAACACCATGTACCATGGTGACATTCGATGCAGTTCTGTTTGCGATACATAGAGTATACATGGCATTCTATGCGAGCAGGTACAAAAAGGCTACTGGATGTAGCTCAAAATGAACCAATTTCTTCGCCGTCGAGGCTTGGCAATGGTGTGTCAGACTGTGCGAACTGCCGACGTTCCAGCTTTGGAAATTGAAGATGCTGGCAACGCGACTCTGGCCACTGGGCGTGGGGTGCATGATTGGGGATGTCGTGCGTGCGTTACTCGCGTTCTGGGTGATGGGACGAGTCGCGCCCGCGAAGGCCGAGGTCAACTCCGCCTGGCCTGTGCTTCTTTCCCCGCAAAGCAGCGCTCCTGGAACAGCAACTCCACGACTGAGAGCAAGCGAGTCATCAAGATGCGCGTCCCGAAGCTTGCCCTTATACCGCGAGCTTCTAGCTTGACGTTCGCAATTGAGAAATACCCAGATCGCTGACACCAGCCCTATTGTCTTCCACGCACCGCACCCATCAAGAGACCCCCACGATGTCGCTGTCGCACACGATGAACTTCTCGATCCCCGATGATCTGAAGCAATATCTCGCCGATCTAGACAAGTTCATTGACGAGAAGATCACCCCGCTCCAACACAAAGACGACAACAACCGCTTCTTCGACCACCGCCGCGAGCACGCTCGAACGGATTGGGACAACGGCGGCCTGCCGCGCAAGGAATGGGAGGAGCTATTGGCAGAGTCAAGGCGACTGGCGGATGAAGCCGGCTTCTACAGACTGTCGCTGCCAAAGCAATACGGCGGTCAGAACAGTGCCGATGGACGAGGGAGCAACCTCTGGATGGCCGTCATCCGAGAGCATCTCGCCGCGAAGGGGCTGGGCCTGTTTAACGACTTGCAGACAGAGCATTCGATGGTCGGCAACTTCCCCGACGTCATCATGCTCATGAACTTTGGCAACGAGCAGCAGAAGAAGGAGTTCATACCGCTGCGGCTGCAGGGCAAGTTCAGGATGACGTTTGGTTTGACGGAGCCCGGTCATGGCTCGGATGCGACACACATGGCGACAAAAGGGCGGCCGGAGACGAGGGACGGTGTGAAGGGATGGGTGTTGAATGGATACAAGCGGTGGCAAACTGGTATGCATCACGCTACACACTGCTCGGTCTTTGCGAGGACGTCGGGGAAGGATGGCGAGATAAAGGGCATCTCGTGCTTCGTCGTACCGGTAGAGACACCAGGGCTCAAGGCAGAGTCGTATGAGTGGTACGTCGTTGGCCCCATAGCGCTCGATACTGTTTGTTAACAACGCCCAGGACACTGAACATGCCCACCGACCACGCCACCGTCTCCATCAAAGACGTCTGGGTCCCCGAGACCGCCGCACTAGGTCCCATCCACAACGGCCTCGGCGTCGCCCAAGCCTTCGTCCACGAGAACCGCATCCGCCAAGCCGCCTCCTCGCTCGGCGCCGCCGTATACTGCGTCCAGCAATCCGTCGAATACGCCAACGAGCGCGCGCCCTTCGGAACCCCCCTCTCGCACAACCAAGGCATCCAGTTCCCGCTCGTCGAACTCGCAACCCAATGCGAGATGCTGCGACAGCTGATCCGGAAGACGGCGCTGGAGATGGACTCTATGCCGCACGGTGAGATTGAGAAGAAGATTGGCGATAAGGTGTCCATGTGTAATTACTATGCGAACAGGCTGTGTACGCAGGCGGCGGACCGCGCGATCCAGGTCCATGGCGGGAATGGGTATTCGCGACATTATCCGTTTGAGCATATCTGGAGACACCATCGCCGGTATAGGATTACTGAGGGGAGTGAGGAGATTCAGATGCGGAAGGTTGCTGCGTATTTGTTTGGCTTTGGTGGGAGGAAGAGTTTGGTAGACGCTACGAAGGCGGAGTCGAAGTTGTAGACCCTCTTGGGGGGGACTTGGAGGCAGCTTCAGTCATAGTAACGTACGAAGCCATTTGTTGAAACCGGGCATTGCGTCTTTCTCTGTGATTACAGGTAGCAATACCGCGATGAGTAGAAACCACACACAGAAGGCTGCCACCCAGAGCAGGGTCAATTGCAATGTGGCGCTCTTTGGTGGTGCCGGGAGCGGTTTTGTTTGTTGGTTTTTCGTGACTGAACTGGTCACTGGTAAACGAGGCACTGCTGGCAGTGGTTTGGAGTGACTCTGTAATTTGAGGGGCTTTGGTGTTGCAACGCGTTTGATGGATCGGATGGTGTTTCCGGTACTGAGAGTCTTCGGTGGCACGGGCGGACCTTGATCCTGGGGACGTGGTTTTCGATTCCGTACGTATTGATCATTGGGTCCATTTTCAGACATTGTCGGGCTTGTGAGAGTGAAGATATTAATCAGAGAGCATGTCCTACGTGCTTGATGCTGGGCTTCCCGGGGCCAGGGCTGGGGGCACGCACGATACTACACCTGATGCGGTTAGCCGATGATGTAAGGGCCAAGTCGAAGCAAGAGCGAATCTCTTCACACTTCGTTTCTTTCTCATCTTAACTTGCCTCACACAATAGAGAGGCCGTCATTCCCGTCGCGCGTTCTCGCTGTCGCACGTTTCCTAAACGCTAATATCACCAATGTTGCAAAGCATATTGGAACCAGCTAACAGACTAACATCGATACAATTCAAAACAAAACTACCAGCGAGTCCTAAACATGTGGTCTGGCTATCATACCGAAATTTTGGATCAATGCCTATCAAGCGAATTCGGAAGAGGCGTATCCGCTCCAGCTCTCGGAGGCTCAGGAGATTGGACTAGGACATCTTGAAGGGCCCCTACGCCTGTGCCATCCCACAATCCCGCTTGCATCATCTCGATACCAAGAGCTTTCGCGCTGGTTCCATGATGAAAATCCGCCTGCTCTTCGTTAGACATCGAAAGCGGACCTTGATGATGACCTCGCAATAACCGATCAGCACGTTCTTCCTCCTTCCGCACCTGTTCCGCCCGCTCCCACTGGCATCGTGCCAAGAACTGATCATGATCCTCCAGTCTCCACATCTTCCTTTGCACCTCCTCCGTAACCCTTGCCTTCAAGGTCTCGTAATCGTCTTGATCAAGCATCCACCGTATCTCCTCAGCGAGAGGATGCGACTTATCTTGCACTTCTGTTAATATGAACCAGACTATCACATCCCCGAAAACGGTGTCGCGAAGACTGCCGTGATACCCATCCCAGATCAGCTCAACATGCTCGTCGGTCATATACCAAGCTTCGCTGCCTATCCACTCGTCTATAATTACATCTTCGATCCGATTGGCGTCTGCGTGCAGCCCGAACACACGGCAGGCTCGAATCGTCTCGATACCGGCGGCCAGACTGGGTGGTATGCGCAGCTCACCTGTGGGCCGCACGCTAGCTGCTTTACACGCGCGACGCATATATCGCATGACTCTTGCGACTCCAGATTTCTCAGCTTCTTTCACGGGTATCTTCAACAGATCCGGGCGCCCGTCCCTGTCTGGTATAAAGCGATCGAGAACGGAGACGCCACAGAAATGCCATAACATGCGAAGCGGAACGTTGCGGACGAATGTTTTCTTGGTGTTGGCATTCACGATGTCGACTGTGAAGCCGGACTTCAATGCGATGAGTGTTCTGTTGTCTGTACGTTGCATCGTGTCAAAGAGTCTTCCAGTGTGCCCTTCGAGCGGCGCCAGCCTCTTCCAGGTCTTTTTGAGTTTCCGTCGGATCACTGGAGATGGTTTCTCTGTTTCTGAAAGAGCGGTCTCGTCCATGTTCGCAGCGCTCATCTCTGTGGATACTGAATTCATCTCGTCGTGTTGCCGGCTATCATGTAGTCATGCCGCATGAGCGCTCTCAGAAGCCTCAGATCCATCTGTTGGCGACTGTGGTGTCGTTTCGGCGTCGTCACGGTCCGCTGTGTTGTCGAGCGTGGGTTCTGTGCTGGGAGGAGCGTTACTAGCCACGTGCATGTCTAATGCCATGTTACAAACGGTTGCGACTTCTCGTAACATCCTGTCGAGCGCTCTATTGAGCGCCGAAATAGGGTTCCGTTCTTCGGTATGATCTTTTTGGGCTTTGTCGATGGGCGATGAAGCGAGCGGTGGATTAGCTTCGACTGTTAGTCGATGGTGTCTCGGGTCGGGCATGTCGCCTGCAGGTGAACGATCGACCGTCTCTTTGTCTTCGTCGCTGAGCTCTTCGCCACTGCCACCGCGCAATTCGACCTCAGTTTCCTTTTGGGTACCTTGTTCTTCTTCTGGCTTAGGCGCGACATCGCGCTCGCTATACTCTGCTGGTGGACGCGCAACCTCGGCCAGCGAGCGCCGGCTCGTGTGCACATGACCATCGGGCTGCGGAGCACCGTCACAATCGGCATCCTTGGCCATACCCGGAGCAGCGCAGCTTGCACCTCCGGTGTCACTTTTAATAGTCCTTTCTGAGAGCCCAAAGTAATCGGTCGCGTCGACTTCAACGGCCGCAACCGAACAAAGTGGCAAGAAGCCATGCGGCTCATATGGCGCAGGGTTAGGAGAAAGGATAGGATTATGCTTCTGTTTTGGTACTGAGAAGTAATCCTTGACTGCTGTAGGCTTTCCAGCATTCCTATTCTCATGCATGTCCTCGGGTGTGGAGGTATGCATGGCTATGAACCCATGCGAAGTCTTCGGTGTGTAAGCTTGCCATTCTGAGGGAGTAGAGGTAGTCTCGCGTTGAAACGCGGGACGAGGGATCTGTAATCGAGGATTATCAAGGGGTACTTTCTTGAGCGCATCTGGAGTTTTTGGTGAGTCTGACATATTGGCGTCGTGAGGTGTAATTGTAGCGATTGAAAGATTTAGCAGGGAGGAATTTCGAGACTTATGTATCGACCGCTACCTGGGTATGAATGAGCGGGCAAATATAGTGTACATGTCACTATCTGCCAACAATTCAGTAACTGTGTGTATGTTGACCTGTGAATAGGTGTTGTGACGCATCTGCCACGACATATGGATAGCGGAATTGGGTGTATACATTCCCGGTGTGTCTCTAGCTATGAGACATTCACCACTCATCGTTCACATGCTGCCTTCATCTCAAGGCCACCGCTTTCTTCATGTGCGCTCTTCACTCTTAGAAGTTTGAGTTAGCTTCCATCGAGTCTCATTCACTACACTTACGACTGCGCAGCATAGTCCTACAACGCCATAGCGTGACTTCCTTTAGCTCCTTCCAAACACATGAGCGCCGTTTCATCGGCATCCAGCCATCTCAACCATGGATGAAGCAGACCGGTCACCGCCAAAAGAGCAGCCAGTTGTGAAACCCGAGGCACAGTCAAGAATGGGCGCGCTTTGCACACAATCATCATCAACGGATCGCACGAAACACTTGGAAGAATTGACGACGGAAGGGGACGCCATCATTCCATTTTCCAATGCCGTGACCGCATCACCACTTGATGTCATGGAGGCTAAAGAGAACGACCGCACACCACCAAACGACATGGAAAAGTTCGAGACTAGTGGAGATGCGGGCGCGGATACCGATGAAGGTATATGGCACGAAAGCGCACCCTGGGCTGCACCAACGTCACCTAGCCCGAAACCCCTCGTAGGCCTTGCCGACCCATCTGAGTTCCATCTAGACTCAGCGCCGATACGGGAAGCACCGAACAGCTCTCCCTCGCCGACGCATGCGGAGTCACCCCTATTACGTCCGCGCCGACTCTCTATCCTCTTGAACAAGGCTATATCCTACTTCGGCAGCTGCATAGGCAGCTATTTCACATCCGCGCCTGGCGTGATCGAGTATACTGGTGCGGATATCCTGCGAAATACCCAGATTGGCATTGAGGCGGAAGAGATCACATTCCCGAATAAAGCTCCAGTGATAAAGATCGTAGCTATCGTAACCGATAGCTCAGGCGCAGGCAGAGAAAAAGATGAGAAACACGAGGCAGTGGAAAGGCGCGTTGAGTTACGGGCAAAGCCTAAGCGAGTGAAGGAGATTTTGAGAGGGGAGCGATATTACATTGCGGAAGATTTCTATAGGAAGGAAATTCGGCTCGCGTTTAAAGCTTTAGGAAACTTGTGAGTGGCTCGTTGCGTATGGGTGGGTCGCGTGGTAACCAAAGAATGAGAGACAGGAATTTCATAAATATGGTCCTTTCTGCCCACTGTGCCCTCAGACACCAAAATTCTTCTCATAACTATAAAGACTTTACCAAATCTCAACCGAACACGTTCAGCACCTCCAAGAGCATACAAAAGCTGCACATATCATCACATACACTATTACAAACCCTACGTACCTGCCAGACGTATTCGAACACCTCACCACGCACGCCGCGCAAACCCTCTGTCCTCCTCAACCCCCAAGATGGCGTCAGAAACCAGCTCCTCAACAACCTCCTCTAGCCAGCAAACCACCACAACACAAATCCTCGAACAAGCAAACAGCTTCCGCACACTCGTCGCATACAAAACAATGGCCACGAGACCCCGAATCGAAAAATGGCTGTCGCATGTCTCTGATCAGACATGCCTCCCGCTAGGCGAATTCCCACATCGAAGACCCAAGCCACTTTTCAACAAAATTCGGTCAATCCAGCAATTTGGGCCTGTTAATGGGGGATACCTCCTTGAGTTTAAGGAGGAAGGGGGGTATTATATTGAGACGGAATCGGTTGGAATGCCGAGGGTTCAGTCACATCCGGATAAGTCGGCGGTCAGTGAGCAGTGGGAGGAGAGTCGGGGGGATGCGGGCGAAGGTGGTTGGTAGCGTGGTGGAGGTGTGAGGGTGACGGCATGGGGTATAACAGTATGGCAACATGTTGACCTGATAGAAAACTAAATACTCTAGAGCCTACGTTGACATTAGGTTACCTACTTTGTAGGTTTTTGTCTTAATGTAGTCTGTAGACCTGTTCAGTTTTCTTCGTATATGAGGTGGTAATAGTCGCGTAGATTTGCGTATGCACTTAGACCATGTCCTTATTTCTTTCTCTCGTTCGTCTTCCGTTCGTCGCAGCGCGCGGTTTGCCAGGGTGCCGTTTGACGCCGTCAAAGTACTAACAGAGATGCTTCGACGACATGCCTACTTCACTGTATGCAATCGAGAGTTGCTAATGAGCCACGGCTCTTTCTTCGACTTTCTGGGTGAGTTCTCAAATTCCACACGAATACCGCTCACGCCATGAGCCGAAGCGACATGACTACCCACGGCTACGTCGCGGGCTATTATATCGACGACCTCGACAGTCTTGATGTCGAAGAGCAGTATCGCCTGCTGTACGACTTGCCAGATGGTCGCTTCGTCGCGCCGCAAGTTAAGCGACGCATGTTCTACAAAGGCGAGACCGCATCGCAAGCTCTGGAGCACGTGCGCCGGTTCATATCTGCACCGTTCAGCGCCAATTCGCTGTCGCCAAGCTTGTACGATGCGCCGAGCTTGATCGATGAGGACCGGTGGCATGAGGCTCGAGCGAAGTTGAGGAGAGAGGGTGCGTCGTAAACATCTCGAGGGAAGAAAGTTGAGAACCTGACGAAGATCTAGGAGCCATTCTGCCTTGCGATTATATATTCGTTGATGAACGCAGGATGGTTGAGTCGTTTGATAGCAACGAGACGATCCGGCCAGCTGGTGTCGTCGCACGGCGTTGGGATCCGGCTGAGTCGATAGCGGAGGATTCGCCTCTATTGGTAGCAGACCAGGATCGAATTACTGTTCAGAGCGATGGGGTCATTTTGTGGCAGTTGCTCATTGACTATGGCAAGGCTGTGCGGAAGATCTTGGCTAAGTTATTGACGTCCCATTGCGCGTATTAAAAGGATGTTGGTGATCCTGCAAGCTTCTCTCTTAATCCATTGAATTGGCCGGCCCTCTAGTGTCGTCAGGCCACCAATGTCTTGTCCAGTGTGGGGCTGTGCACCTCATGCTCTATCATGTCGCGGCGTGGTCCCGATGCGACCTCGGGAGCGAAGAGGTGACGTATTACCCGTGAACGCATGTAGTGTCCTGCATGGGACGGCTCACCGACAGGTCAGCCTGGGCTGGTACAAGCCCATGCCCCAGCCTCACATAAAAGCGCGGTTTCTTCTTCGGCGACAAATAGGCAGGTACACAGGTATAGAGGCATCGTATGTGATTTATGCTGCGTGGCATCGTCGCTGCTCCCTGCGCTGAGCCAGACCCCGCTTTCTCTTGGCATTCTGGGTCACCACACCACTCCAATATCCATGGCTTCCATCATAACTCCGCCCAGCGAGAGCGACATCACGACCTCCCAGCTTAATGTCGCTTCACTCGCGGTCACAAACCACCAGTCTGGAAACAATGCTTGGCCAAATACCCTTCGCGCGACAACGAGAGCGGCCCGTCGCCGTGGAAAGCTCGATGGACCTTTTCAACTTCGCTTTCTTACCGCGACAGACCCTACTCAATTCAAGGATGAGGAGATAAGACGAAGCGTCCGTTCGCAGGCGATGAGGTACCATAGGAGCAAAATAAACAACAGCAATGCAACACCTTGGGAACGGCCTGAAACAGTACAACCTCTTTACACTGAACCGATAGTCGCCGAGCAGGTCGGGCTCACGACGACTCAAACTCAACTACATCCCCCGGAAAGAACACCGAGAGCGCTTGTTCCTTATGAAAATGATCAGCAAACTCGTATTCATGTACCGACGACGAGGTCCCTAAAGGAAGCGAGCGGTGCTGAGGCTCATGATGCTGCGTTTGAACGCCGTCCGTCGACTCGCTCAGGCCGAAGGCAGAGTAGAAGCTTCCAAAAGGTTGTTGAATACGAGTACACCGAGAGCCAAGAAGAACGCAAGATTCGTCTATTCGCGACCACTTTCCCTCAGATCGGAGACGGGTTTGACCCTTTCAAGGTGTTGCCCCAATTCGAGAACCCTAGTTTGAACAGTGGTTTCATCCTACGTGCATGTAGGTGTACATAACTCTCCAGACTTTTCACGTCGTATGCTCTCGTTCAAGGGCTGACATAAACAGTCATGCGGGCGTTCGGGACGGAAGCATTAATCAAGGCATGGGCACCCGAAATGATGGTTCATCCCCATGTATTGCTCAGTGGTATCGGGTCCGTGACATGTACTTGGCTCGATATGCTCGCAAAAGTTCCAGGCGAAAGTATAAGGACTAGGCTTGTCAGGGATGAGACCCTGGTCATGCTCAGGCTTCGGCTTCAGTCGTTCACACGGGAGCACGCTGTGTCAACCCTCCTAGTGATGATACACTTGCTAGGAAGCGACATGTGGAGCTGTGATGAGCCCACAGTGCGGTGTCACGAACGAGGCATCGAACAGATGATACACCTGTGCGGTGACCTGGACAAGACCGGTAGGGCGATAATCGCGCGATTTGCCACTTCGTAAGCTCCATGACCTCCTGATAAAGAGGGCAGACTAATAATGCTTCCAGGTGTTGTCTCCACTGCGACCTACTTTACGAAGCCCAACCCCTGCCGACCTTTGCGTTGTGGGAGCCTGCAAAGTATGAATCGGTCAACGACAACGCAGATGTCGCGATACCAGAATCCCCGTTGTTCTGCCCAGGGCCTGACTTCCGGAACCTTCTCAACGAAGAGCGTTGCTCATCTACCACATGTGGCCTACTTCGAGATATGCGCGACTTGACCGACCTACTACTGGCGCAAAGCATAGCACTTAAGCCCGCTAGCGATGCTACAGACGTTCATGTAGCCTGTCCGCCCTCCAATGACGTCTATCGTAAGACAAGAGTGGCTGGAATTTGCGATCGATTAGCAAAACTACCTTCGGCTTACACTCCAGATCATCCAAACTCCTGCGATTGGGTCTATGAGGCGTGTCGTCTCACTGCCACGATCTACACGACTTCCATCGTACGCCGCTTGCCTTTCTCTGTTGCTGCAATGTCAAGTCGCTACCCATTTTGTGTCCAAACTGGAGCTCTGAACGAGCCACATGGCAGCCAGATCTCACTCACAACCCATATCTGCGAAGAGTTGTTGCAGACTCTAGAACGTACCGACCTCGCAAACGTGTGGAATGGTATGGTTGGGGTGCTATATTGGATATGTACCGTTGGCGCTGCTGCAGCTCGTTCGCCCCGCTTGTCCGGCCTGTCACAGCGACTCCCGTATAGCACGACGTGCAAGTTCCGGATTCGACAGTGTCTGACTATGTTTTCCGTCCGCGCACATATCATCTTGATCTTCAACCATCCCATACCCATTCTGCTATCTCAGAAGAAACTCCTCAGGGTACAAGAGCTTATTGGAACATATCGCCAAGGTCGCAACACCAAGCAGTCACCTGGAACCTCTCTGGATTCCATAGGCCTCTAATGCTACGACATCTTCACCTACTGAGGCTCGAATGCAAGCCGAGCAATTCATCCATCTCTTGTGATGCGCGTTCAAAGCAAAGCGACCCAAGATAGAGTCAGAAGCCGGCTGCTGACAAAAGATGATTGCGCTTTCGTAAAAACCGAAAGCCGTATGAATCAGAGGAGAAGCGCACTTGTCCACGCCGCCAACCCCGGTTACTTCTTTTCACCGTTCAGTCAGTCACTGCATATTCGGCTTTGAACGGACTGTGCAGGAAGTTCTTAGTGCGTGATGTGCGGTTGGCCGAATACTCTGGCTTTCCTACTCCGCGCGCATCACGAGAGGCCGAGCTGAAGTTCCCGGGCGTCTCGGGTCGCGACCATCCGCAAGATCCGGTCGCGATGTGTTCTGCAGTTCCAGAACAGACGATCGCAGTTGCGGACAAAAAATCTGTTCCTTGCACTGAATTTTATTGGTGGTGTTCGGAGATCTTCGCTGCCAACCGATGTGGGCCGACGGAGCATTTCGCACCCTGGATCTGAGGGGTTGCAACTCACCTGCTAAGCTTCGCGGCTCCCATCTTATCCGACCTCTTATGACGTCGCAACTATGCCAGTCTCCTTTTCCATCAGGCACGGTTGTTTACATCGCATTGAAACCTAGGAAACGGTAATTCGCTTTGGCGATTTCGGCGCTTCTCCAACCCAAACCTCGCGGGGATGCCATCATAGAGGGCCCGTGCGTCGAGCCTCTTTTCGTCCCTTCCTTGTCCGACGCTCCGCTGGCCACGATGATCCTGTAGGGCAGAAACAGTTGCAACCGTGGTGCCAAACTCTGATTTGACGTGTGGAGTCGCGTGGATATCAGGATCTGCGTCGTTGGAAATCATGTTCTGATCTCACAGGTCTGGCTACCGGACTGTTTGAGACAGCAGTCAGAAGCGCACGTTGTTTTGGATATGCAAACATCCAGACGTGGCTATTGCAGGCATTCCTGAAGTTTACAGTACCCGCGATACACGTGCTCGCTCTTTGACTTGACGGTCAGCGTGCTGTCTTTGCAGGAAGAGGACTGTTTCGATGACTATCTGACAAATGAAGCGAACCACGGGACAGCACGATTCGCGCTGACGAATGATGGATGACTCCTGGCCGCCTCGCACCATCTTCACGAAGGAAGCGGCTGCCAGCATGTCCGAGACAGCGACCCAGGGATTAGTGGCAGCTTCCCTGCATTCCGATTGGGCGACAAGGTTACCTCCTGTCAGACCTGCCAGGGTCTAACGGCCTACTAACATCAAGCGACATTCTGTATAAGAGACAACACCCGCCAAATCTAGAATGCACACGAAAGAAATAGTCGCAGCGAGCGTCGTACTTGGACTCTGCTTTGTCGCTGCCATGGCACTCGTTACACGCTTCCTCCTGCACAAGCAGCCCAAGACTACAACAACAGACGAAATGTTCACTACGGACGGCAAGACTGAACGGCAGGTTCAACTCACGCAGATCTCCAGCTCGTGGAAGAGATTCTTGACCCCAAAGCAAAGACTTAGCAAAGGACATTGGGTGCCAACATTGTCGGGCATCATCAAGGCAGGCGACGAGGGTTTGTTTTCCTCCGCATTGTTTACCAACCTCCAAGGACATCCCGGACAAGTACCGCTCGAAACCTTGTACGATGCGTTCGCGAACGAAGTTCGAAACAGACCAATCTCAGAGCGATCGTCATACCCCGGAGACATGACGAAGTTCCTTGCTCGAGCAAAGAAGCCTGCGAGCGGCGTGGGGCGGTCAAAGTCGATGTCCAATGTTCGGCGAGCGGACCCTAGCCCAAAGACTGCGAGGAAGAGCTTAGATTTATCGGTGGTAGAGATGGGTTTGGCTAGGGGCTTATCCGTGAAGAAGCCGGCGTCTGCCTTGGTATCGATGCACAATGGACTGCGAGACGACGACCCGAAGGCTATACAGCGGGCTTGGGTGAAAGATGGTCAAACTGCAAAGTATGAGGATGGAAGGTTGAGCGTCAAGGTCTCAGCTGCCGAACTTGCGGCACTCTCAGTAATACTGGGAAGCCAGTTAATCAACGGCGCTGACCAACAAGACGCGTCATCGGAGAATGGTGCCTTCGGCATCTCGATGGCCCTTTCGGCAACGACAGACGCCAAACACCAAGTCACGCTTACACAACAAAAGCGCAGCAGATCGCAACGGCATGCCCAAGGCTCAGGCACTTCACCACTCTTCGCAAAGCACCTTGCAGCTGGTTCTCTCCCATACTCGCAAGATAAGATCGGCGTACACAGCATTCTCATTACAGATGAATCTTTCGAGGCGTTACAAGCAGGAGCTTCTCTTTACACACACCCATATGTCGCAAGAACGCCACAGTCCAAGTTCCTCGCTTCGCTACCCAGTTCCCGCGAAGCACGATTCCACATCCTCGCCACATCGACCGAAGTCCATACCTCAAACACCTTACTAGACGCCATAGCATCACTGCCGTTCTCCGGCGGCCTTGCGCCCCTAGCCTCTTCACCTCTGATCAAGAACGTTCAGTTCATCGCTTCCGCTGGCCTCCCCCACGCCCGCCTACTCCAGCGCCTCGAGCAACTCGTCGACAAAGTCCACCGCCACACACCCCACCTCAATATCTTCGGTCCCCTGTACGAGCCTCAAAACGCGGGCCTCCTCTTCCGCGAGCGCGAACGCCTCGGTAGACTCGCCAGCGATCCAACAACACCCGACACTCTCGCCGACAAGACAGCCCGCATGTCACGCTACACAACGCTCCTCGAGCGCCTCATGGCTCTGGTACCAGACTTGAAAGCGCAAGACGCACTCGCCGCCGCCCAGGAAGCAACGAAGCAGGAAATGCGACGTGCATACCAACAAGCCGTCGCAGCGCACACTTCCTCCACTTCGGCCAGCAAAAGCGCGGAGACAGTTTGTTCGCCGGTATCGGCATCGCCATCTGAACCACAACAGCAACAGCGCAAGCGCCAATCCACATCATCACGTCGCAGTACCCGTTATTCGAACCGTTCCAGCACCTTTTCATCTGATATCACGGAGGCGAGCCCAGCGCTCACAACATCCATGGACGAGAAAGAGAGGAGTCTAGCCAAGCAGATAGAACACGTTCTCAAATCCGACCTGCCGCTAGAGGTCAGTACGATTGCATTTGTTGCGCGAATGGTGGTCGTGGCGTGGACAGTCAGCGTAGGTACTGTGGCTTGGGGGGAGGGTGAGTCCGGGTTCCGGGTACCTGACCTGGAGGCTTTAGGGAAGATGGTTTTGGTTTAGACATATGCCTTATATAGCTACCAGTGGGCGGGTTGTACGGATACGGGGAGCTTCGAGGCGTTTTTCTCTTCTTTTCTTGTTTTAGACGACAGGTTTGGGCATATGCATGTTTAACGAGATACCATTCACACTTTTATGATTTAGACTAGAGAATATAAATATGATTCTTCTGCATACTTTACAACAAGTCGTTCCCTGGCATCGTTTCTGCACCTTGGGATGCAACGCAACTAACATGTGTCGTTCACTTCCGTGATTCACATCCGCAATGTTCCGCATTCATCCCCATACTGAGCACACGTCACCCGCCATCGCAAAACCAACACAATCACAAGATCACACATCGCGCAACCCACAAACCACAAGCACCATGATTCAAAACCATATCGAACGCTACAGTCACGAGAACGAAAGGCAGTCTCCAGGCTCGGTTCTCGGCTTCACCCGGCATCCGGTGATCTGCACGAACGACGCCGAAGCACACCAGCCGGCGGATCCGTGGGTTCCTGCGGTAAGACTGTCTTCCCGAGCGCCATTACGCACGAGATGCAGCGTTTACGGCGTCGGGCCAACGGGGTATGGGCTGAAGCCCCTCTTCGAAAGTGTTGGCAGAGTATACGGATGCGTGTTGTCGAGACGATTTAACCAATTGTAGTAATTACAGGTTGAATCGTGGATCTATGTACCGTATACCGTATACCCTCCTTCATATCCCCGTTTCTATACAAGCAAACACCTTCACGATCCTTGTCGTCATACCCGCCAACCCCCTCTCCATCGAAGTACCCCCCTACTCCGGCCCCATAACCTCCAACCCCCTACAAACACCAACCCACCCATCCCTCATGCCCTCCCAAACAACCTCCATACTCTCCTCCTCTAGCCCATCTCTCTTCCTTTCTTTCCGCTCGACCTTGTCTCCCGTCCCATCCGCCATCATAGCGGTAACGCGATCCCGTTTCTTGTCCTTATCCAGTAACGAGCTATTTGTCTTGAGACCCTTGCCGTCTAGCTCGCCTTTTACTTCCCATCCCTTGCGCACGGGGCCGTGGATGGTGGCGGGGGAGATGAGTGTGCTGTCGAGTAGTGCGTTCCAGCGCGAGAGGTACATGCCTGGACCGTGCGTTGTGCCTTTTCCGTCTTGTGATGATGGTGCGGGCTTCATGATTGACTCAAGGCGGGTTTGCGATGTGGACTTTAGGGTGGTGAGATGCTTTTCGTGTTGGTCGAGGAGTGTCTTTAGCTCTTCTTGTTTGTCTTTGCTGAGAGTTTCGAAGAGCGAGTGGAGGGGTGCTGTCATGTTGCCTGCGCCGCCTTCGCCTCTTTCTTCAGCTTCTTTAGCACGCTCGTCGACACGGAACTCAGAGAATATGCGTTTGGCGTAGACGAGGTAGTCTTGCGCGAGGTCGGGGGCGTTCTTCGTAACTTGGTGTAAAAACTTGTGCATGGAGGGGGCGTGCTTCTTGAGGAGTTGGACAAAGTCTTCTACGGTCGGGGCGTCGCTTGCCTCTTGATCGAGGATGCTAGCTGGGTCAGGTGAGCTGGGTCTTGACTTAGAAGTTTCGCGGCTCCTTGTGCCCTTCTTCTTTGGCTTGGCGGTCTTGATGAGGTCGGTGATGAAGGCTTCCGCGTCGGTTATAGTGCCCGAAAGATCGACGGCGTTGTGTATGGCTCGGATGACGGGATCCATGCCGGTGACCGCGTCGCGTATGGTGGAAGTCAAGACATCAGGGTTAGATTTGCAGAGAACCTTGGTGAGTTCCTCGCGGTCGCGAATCGAAAGGTATGTGCTGAGGTATTCCATGGCTACGCTATGTTGGTGTTCGCTCAGGGTCTCGGCATCGATCTTGTATGGGGGGTCGGATGTTTCGAGGATGACGGCTGCGATTGACTTCGACTCGGATATTGACTGGCTTCGTGCCGCCTCATGTTTCTCCCGTGAAGAGTAGACGTATGTCTTGAGTGCCTTGAAGACCTTCTTGTCGGGCGCGTTACGCGACGACTCTAGTTTTGTTGCCCGCTTTTGGAATTCGGATGTGTCCCATGCTAATACCGTCGACAGAATTTGCTGGAGAAGATTCATGCCGTCGTTTGTGTTGTTGGTAAGGCCTATCCAGTTGGTCATGGCCGTCACCGATAGCTTGGCTAGTACTAGTCTGACCATGCCGTTGATCATCGTCGCTGCGTTTCCGACCCGCAATGTCTGCTTGATGACGGTGTATGGTATGAGGCGGTGCAAGTTCTCGAGGAGGCGAACGAGGTATTGGCCGTCGGGCGACATGACGAAGACATGGTGGAGGAAAGATGCGGCACTGAGGCTGTTAGTCTGCGAATAGAACAGCCATCTAGAGTACTCACTTCAGTAGCATATACTCGTGCGCTGCCTGCAGACTGCTGGAATGATCTTCCAGTCTTGGCGTCGCCTTGACTTTCTCATACAGATCATCTAAAGCATCCCCGTATATTGCATCCTTGACCAGTTCCTCAAAGCCTTGTATAACGTCTTCCGGCTTGCTTGTGTCGTATTCCTTCTTGCTTTCCTTCTTCTTCGTTGCTGAGTATCCACCCAGCATGCCTCGTGCAACGTACTCAGCGATGCTACTCGCTGCCGTCGCAAGGGCCTTCCGACTTCCAATAGCGCCTTTGTCGTAACTCTCGCTCAGTTCCGCCTCGGCCATTCTCGCGACTAGCGTCTGGATCTTGTCGGACCACCAGCTCTCCCCAAAGTTTCTTATGGCGGGGTTGCATAGCGCAAACTTGTTGAGCATGTTCTGTAGCAACGGGCTCGTCGACTGGACGCCGTCTGCCTTCCGGAAAGGGTAGCCATACTGATTGATGGTGTGGGGGTATTTGAAGGCTTCGATTTCGGAGTAGACTTGGTGGTGGATTAGGATATCGAAGAGGGCGTGCGTCTGCGCAGGCGTAAGCGGTTTGGCGGTCGACATGGTGGTGGAGAGTGAAGTATGGTAGGACCAGAATCTTGTAATGGCTCCATAGTTGGCTACGAGAGAGATGGTTGACGCGGCTGCGCCTGCGACGCGGGGTACGTCATCGCGCTTGCGGTCTTGGCAGATTAGCGACCTGATCACCCCCACATGGTCGCCAGAATCTCGGAAAGTACGGCCACCCGAGAAGTTTACCTCAACTTAGGATATCGTCAAGTTGAAGTTTGTATATGTATTTACACCCTACAATGTTATCGCCAGCTTCCGAGAAGACGCGAACAAAACACCTAGATGCCTATAAACCTCTCTAGAACAGTTATATACAAAGCATTTCCATCATGTAAGCCTCAACCCCCAAACCTCCAAACCGCCCACAACACCTGTGCCCAACGTATACCTCAAAAGTTGAACGTGAGACCCTGTGACAGGCCTTCACGGAGGAAGGTATGCTCAGGGATGACGTCATCTTGTGCGATCAAGATGATGGTTTTGAGCTTGCACTCGATCTTGTACTCCACGCAAGCTTCGCGGAAGAAGTCGAAGAGGCAGGTTGCCACAAGGTGGTGAAAGTCATCTCCCTCTTCAAAAATGAAGAGGGGTCCTGTGTTGTAGTAGACTTTCCACGTCTTCAGTTCTGGGAATTCGGCGGCGAGAGTTTCGGTGATATAAGGAGCTTCATCATCGAATTCGCTCCAATCTCCATCGTGGATCGGAGCACCGAGCACAACGTCGCGAGAGCCATAGACCTTAATCCCAGGGCAGAAGGACGCAAGGCTGTCCATGTCGCGAAGCGAAAGATCGTTGTCATTGCCGAGATCGACGTCGTAAACCCGCAGCCCGGAATGGTAACTCCAGATGTCGATCAATCTGGGGTATTCGGACCTGGGCGCACCCCAACTATTGCATACTTTCATCCTGACTGACTGTAGGCTATGAAAGCTGGTGATGAAGTTCGTAAACCCATAGTCGTGTGTTTCCCACAGGAAGGGCTCGTCCCAGCAAAGTATTTGAATACAAACATCTTCGATGTTGATCTTTGATTCGGGATTTGATGTCATGAGGAGCCAGAAAAGGTCGGAGAGGAATAGTGACTGGATGAGATGAAGTGAGCGCACACTGGATATGTCGATAGACAAACCAAAGACGCCCAAGGGAAAATGTCTGAAATTGACATCGTGAAAAACGAGCTTAGTGACAGCGAACGTCTGTTCCAATCCCAAGTCCCAGAAGGGATTGCGATATGTCCCGGTATCTTCGTCGAGGAAGCTGAAGGTGGCTCGCATGTAGAAGTAATCGATGTGATTTCCTACACCGATGTACTCAAGTAGACGACGAGCGACTCTCCTAAGCGTACCAGCCACGTTGTGATGAACTAATCCCCTCCTACCCGAGGAAGCAAATTCAAAGAGCTTCCCAGGCTGCAGTATGGTAGACACGAACTTGAGGACGAGCCGGCTGTCCACGACAGTTTCATCATTGTATTGACCGGGGCACTTGACTGGGTTGTACATCTCCGGAAGGTCAATCTTTCTCAAGGATGCTCGGAGAGTCTTCCCACGGGATGGGTGGCACAGAAGGCTTTCCAGCATCAGCCAAGATAGCCCGTTCAGTGCTGATATGATCGGGTTTTGTTGTCCATGTGATAACCCTAGCTGTGTGAATACCAACGAAGTCAATGGGAGGTGTTGCAGGCATCGCGCCAGGAGCTGGAAATAGGCCTGCGCGTAAGGAGATGCTGTGATGTCGATTGTCAGATCTCGGGTAAAGCGATCGATGTACGTGAACGTCGGTCCGTGTCCCACGAGGCTGCTGGCTGAGGGGAAATTAGGGCCTAGGCGGAACCGAATGGCGCTCTTGTATAGGGCTTCGAGACCGATCGTCCAGAGGGCTTGACAACTGCGCATGAAGTTGGGCAGATCGTGTTGACCAACCTTAACATTGTTAGCTCCAGTTCTCATCGGTGCTCGCAGACTACGGAGCTATCTCAAGCTTGAATGAGCAGAGTTGTGGGTAATCCAGCCTCCACGCCATGTTATAATCATCAGACTTACTGCTTTGGCGATCTGGAGGACCAAGGCGGTGTCGAGGTCAAGGAGCTGAGTTTTGTTCCTTCCCTTAGATTTCGGCGGTCGCTTCAGCCTCTTGGAAACAGGTGTCGAAGTGGTGGCGCCCGCAGAGGTAGGCCTGCTCTCAATGAACTGCCATCGTCGCTTGCTCAGTGCGCCTTTGGTCGCGCCATCTCCGGGATCTGCGGAAGACTTTCGCGGCGCCATTGTCGCAAAGATTTGACAATACAACTGCTCGCGTTGAAGAATGGACTCAGAGCCTGAATATCCCTTGGTGGGATCTAGCCAGTCGCGTGGTCTGTGCGCAGGTGAATGCAAACAGACGCGACAGCCAATGGAACGACAGGAGAAGGCCAAGCCCGGAGGCGGCAGCCTTGTGCGCCGTAGCCCCTCTGTCTATAAGAGCCTGCCCACTGTCTTCCAACTGCCCTCCTCCTCGCCCTCCACCTCACACCATTTTCGGCTGTGGACTTGGAGAAGTCGAGAAGAGCTCAACCAGAGCTCAATGGTATCGGAGAGTCCGACAAGGTAACGTCATCTTCACGAGAGCCCCTCGTTCACATTATCTGGAGCCGCAGGCGGGCTCCAGGCGTCCTCGCTAACAAGTCTTCTTCCACTCTTTTCACACAGCTTGTCCAATACTTCCTGATACCTCGGCTCACAAGCGTTAAGGACTGGGGTGGAGACGTTGACGGACGCTTACGACCCTGGTCTCATGAGGTGTCGTTGCGCTGACGAGCATTATGTGTCGGCACCTCAACGCTCAAATTCGATCTGTGGTTTTTGCAGTGCTACCTACGATCGACGGAACGGCGACATCCATGCACCTTCTCCACACTCCGCCAAAGGGAAGCGCGACTTTGCGTTTACTTTTGCCCGTTTGTGGTCTCGCCGGGAGGTGGTGAGCAACGGTATCCTTCGGGATTGCTCATCTCACACGGCAGGAAGCAGGCGGAGCTCGTCTCCAGCAATGGACTCCGGTCCAGCTTCTGAGTGACAGGTACCTACGGGAAACCGGCTCGTCGAGTGGATAGTTGAAGATGCGGGAACGTGAGCCCGGTTACTACAACGAAGGTCTCGAGACCTAAGGTAGAGGCTTATTGGGGCCTTTACTGACGATCGAACGGCGGAACCAACACCCACCTTTTTTCGTTGACATTGCTGCTTTATGCAGTCTGTTGAAGAAGAGAAAGTGGAATGGAGTGACTATGAAATGACGGAACAGAACTGAGGATTGTGCGCAGTCTTGAGAGGGTTGAGATGATGTTGGCAGTCGCGGAAAGATGCGGCTACCTCCCTAGGTGAGTAGTAGTCCAAGCGGTGACGTCACATGTGTGCGAAACCACCATCCGGGCAACAGCCAACCCTTTGATGCGACTGTAATGCAAATCTTACATAGACGACCCTTCAAGAGATCGATAGAAACATACAGCTGTTGCATCCCAACTTTGAGCCTTACGCGCTTCCAACCCCGTAATAATATCTCTGTTCATCCATATACTTCTGCAACACCTCCAAAGCTCTTACTTCGAACAGCCTCCGCAGAAGTCCCCGACGTGTCTCTATTAACAAAAGAGTATCCGGATTCGAATCTTGAAAGTCAACATCCACAACAATAGTCATGGTGGCACGCGCGGTGAGCGCCAGTGAGCCAGGCCGCCGTTCAAAGCCGCCACCGCTCAGATCGAGCATGTACTTACTGTTCGACGGGTCGCCGCTTCGATACAATTGCCCGTCTAGGCCACGTCGGTAGAACGTTCGCTTTGAGGTTGAGTTCGCGAAGTTGTTAGCGATAGGGTTGTAACCATCGTATGCAAGCCCATTGGGCGGAGCTGGCAGCAGACCATCGCTTGGAGTTGCAGAAGTTACGTTGAGTCCGACGTTGTTGGTTGGTTGCTGCGTCGGGAAAGCTGTGTTCCTTGTATCCATATCTGATCTTTTGCCAAGTTGGAGAATGGGACGAAGTCGTTGAAGGGGTAGGCTTATGCTTGGATAACAAGCGCAGGTCTGCGTCTTATACATGATGTACGACGTGAGTGACCACGCATGACGATTGCTTGGTCACGAGAGCCAGGAGTATTGTGATGTGTCTTGTGGATACGGCAAATAGTGCATATGACCCCTTGGAAATGTACGAGTAAACTGATGACAGCTATTGGTGACTGAGAGAGTATCGTCAGTGTCAAGCTCCGGTAGATACTGAAAGTTCGATGTCCGTGTGAATCGGCGGCGTTCTATGGGGGTATATTTGTTAACAGATGCTGACGCCTTGGAGCCTTTGACAGGTCATGTAAAATCGTAGACCACCAACGCCTGACTGCCCTCGCTCTTCTCTCTCAGCACTATGACGTTCTGTTCGTCGAAGCCGACCCAACCACGACTGACGGAAGAGTCGTCAAAGCCTTGGTCAAGCGCAAACCGTAAGCCCACTTGCTGCCCCGAGTCGTCGTCCTGGGTGTGCTCTTCACTTGCCTTGGATGGCTGTACGCGAACGCTTAATTGTCCGTTTCTTGAGCGCTTGCGGTTCGCGGAGGAGTTCATGCCGCCCTCTAGATCCCATACCCGTAGCTCGTCCCCTCGTCTGCTCACTGACACAGCCTTGCCGCGCATGCCAACGTGAGCACCGGATATCGAAGACGTGTGACCCCAGAGGCGGTTGCCGGAGCTGATGGACAGTGCTTGTGATGTCGATCGGACGAGGTAGAGAGATAGTGTATTATCGGGATGCGCGACGAGAAGATACGGATGCGAGTACGACATGGAGGTAGGTTTCGATCTGCTCGGCCCGCTCGGTGCTAGGGCTTCATCGGCGCGATCTGGTAAAGGTGACGACGAGCGTGCTGATGAAGAGGCCGCGCGGTACGTAGAGAGCGTAAATGAGTGTTCGTCCGCCGCAGTAGCCAGCCGTGACTCGATTAGGTCGCCTTTGTGTGAGAGTATGAGCTCCTGCACACCAACAGTCCAGCCGGACAAGTACGTCGGCAGGGAGTATGCGATCGCGGCGGTCATGGTGTGTGCTGTTGTGCGCAGCGATAACGAGACAGGTGGCCATGCAGTGTTCGATCGTAGGGAGTATAGCAGCTTCGGTGCCTCCAACAGCCCGAACGTGCCAGGTACCTCCTCAAAAGCGTATAATGAGAGGAGGTGGTCTTCGGTCATCGTGAGGAGATAAGGCGATGAGTATGCGAGAGCCGACAACATTCCGTTGGTTGATGGCGGATGGGTGAAGACATTCGTGAACTTGTTGCGACTCGTCCTAAGTGCGTAGATGGAGAACGAGCCGTCTTCAAAGCCTATGACAACTCGCTCCGTGCCATCGTCCGTATTCGAGGCATCTATGGCCATGGATATCGGTAACCGAGCCATATCTGTTTCACCAGATAGTTCCGTGGATGCCAGTAGCTCCCTATCATTCTTCGAGTTCCACGCTCGCAGGCCTGACATGGAGTCGGCGGCATAGATGATGCTGTTAGACATCATGACGAGCAGCGGTGGGACTGGAGGCCTTTCAGCGACCACAATCTCACTGACGGCGCATTGTCCCTGGGTCCAGTTATGCCGCAACCGATATTGCTGCTTCCAGTTCGTTTGTGTTCCATCTTTGACTAAGTAGCCGTCTTCTAGCCATTTCGATAGCCGCGAGGAGTAGTGTAGCCGGTTCGGGTTGGCAGGGCCTCTGATGCCTGGTATGCGCGACGCTCGAGGAAGGACGAATGTGCGGTAGTAGGCGGCTTTCCATAATTCCGAATCGATCGAAAGGCGACTGAACTTCTTTGACACCCTGTAACAGTCAGCGAATGTCGCGATGTAGCGAAGATGACGTTACGTACCTTTGGCATACTAAGAGCGAGGGTACGGGCACGAAAGACAGTATCCGCATAAGCAGCTCCTCGCTCAATCGAGAGAGTTTGTCGGGATGTAGAAGCCGCTGTACTTTGGCTGGATGCTCGCCGTCATCATCGCCATCGTATGCGCGCTTCATAATACCGGGCTATGGCTGTCGTGTCGGCGGCGAATGCGCCTCGGGATGTCGGAATGGCACCATGTCTTATCGCTATCGCAGAGTGTCTGTGCGTACGCGTGACTGCGCGCTCCACTAGCGCGTATCTTTCGTAGTTGCCGCCTAATGCTGCAACCAATTCAGGACACACGCGAACATCGAGTCATCTCTTGTCACACCTGTCGTTTTCATGCCTTGTCGGACTGGTCCAATATGGCGGAGTTTTCAGCCTGGGTAGAGCAGAACAAAGGGCTCTGGACGCGCGTATACGATGAGGTCATTAAGCCTGACCTCGAGAAGGAATGGAAGACGAGTACGTATGGTCAATGAACGCGTCGATCTTTGCTAAGAATGAATCAGAAGAAGAGAAACATCAGAAGGAGCTAGATCAAAGTACGCGTTTTGTCTAATTCATTGAGTTACATACTGACCTGCTGCAGAGGAGGAGAACCAACAGATACTGTTCCAACATCTGAATGACGAGATTCTGAAATCAGCGCGTCTTGCCAAGGAGAACGAGCACCTGAAAGAACAGCTCGAAACTAGGGGGCCAGTCGACCAGCATGTCTCTGAACTTGATGCACAAAGTGCGTCCGAGGATTATCGCCACCTTACTACCGAGAATGAGCAGTTGAAGCAACGACTCGCGGCTCTACAGGAGGCCGCTGCACCATTACCAGATCACGGGGTTGCAAACGAGGCTACCGAAGAAGAGTATCACGACCTTGCTGCCCGGTTTAGCGACTTGACTAAGAAGTACCGGGACATGTCTCAACAAGTGAAGTATCTCCAGAAGAAGAACACAAACGTCATGCAAAAGAACAGGGACATGAAAGAGAGCGTGCGCGCATGGCAAGAGTACGCAGATCGGCAAGCAGTGAAGCAAAAGTCGAAGAGCGAGGCCAGAGACGGGGCCGACAAGTCACATATGGCGGCGGCTCACCTTCTTCCCGAGGAACGGCCTCATATACCTTCTAGTCCAGTTTCATTGGCCACTGTGCGAACTCCCGGATCCATCGCTAATCCAGACCGCTCGTCTCCCGCTCCCATTGCCCCGCTTCCGCGTTCAGTTCTAGGGATGACGAGTCGGTTGGCGTCTCCCACTACAGTCAGCGACGAGGAACCCCGGAGCCCCACCACAACTGTCACTCCAAAGGCCAGCACCCGGTCAGGGAACGTTCAGCTACAACAGCATCAAGAACACAAC